AGGAAGAGCTTGGGCATAGCCTGCAGCACCCACCTTGTGAGTTTTCCTTGCTACCAGGTCCTGTTGAATGAGCACAGGAGTGTGTCAGGGGATGCTGGAGTGTGTGTGTGCTGCAGCTGATGGCTGGTAGCTGTAATTTCGGACTCCTGGTGGGTAGATTTCCAAGGAACAACCCAGCTTTCAAGCAATGAAGCAAACTAATAGCTGAACTTCCTTCCATGAGCTCCACAGTGAGCTGTTGTAACCTCACTGACACAGAGCACTGTCCAGCCAGCTGCTGTGCCCATGAGGAGGAACTGGGAGCTATTACAAGTGCAGAGAGCCTGATGGACACTGTGAAATACTATTTCAGTGATGGCTCACTCATTACTTGGTGAAACCCTGACATGAACATTTATTGTGTGGGTATGGCAGGATTATATTGCTGTGCCTGCTCCTCACACCTCATCTGTCCTGGGAAAGACTGCTGTGCTGCCTGGCTGGATCACTGTGGTATTTATTTGACAGGGACTTGAGTTACTTTTCTCAGCTCTGAAGCCAGGGCTAAGCCACTTGGGGAAAGATGTGACAGGCAAATACTTGCCTCACGTTTGGCTCTCACATGAGTGCAACTAAACTTGAAGAAAGAAAGACTTGAAGTTGGCCAAGATGGCCCTAAGGAGCTCCACTGCCCCAGGTGTGAAGCTTTGGGGTAATAAGCTGGGGAATAACCAAGTTGTGGTGCAGCTGGTTGGCCCCATGGTCCCTGCCAGGACACATCACCTGGCAGAAGTGACCGAGAGCCATCACAGCACTGCTGGGTGGGTCTGTGCATCAGCCGGCTGTGGGGCTCTGGGGGAGGAAGAGGTCAATGCAGTATTTGAAGATTTTTAGCCCAATTATGGGCCTGGTGCTCTTATGAGGCTTCTGAATCATCAGACCAGTGTACACATGGACCTGTGTCCCAAGAGGAGCAGAAGAAGTCTGTCTCCCCTGTGGGTTGTATGACCTTCATGGGCATGTTCACACCTGTGGTCTTCATCCTTCAGTTCCTGAAGGGGGCTGTGGGCAGCCTGCAGAGCCCCCAGGGCACTGCCTGCACACTCACAGCAGGACATAGGACACACAGCTGGGAAGAGAAACACGGCTCATGTTTCAGCAAGTGCATTTAAAGACTAAGACATCTGTCTTTCTAAGAGACTTTAAGAAAAATCTTCATCCTTTTGGGGCTGTATCTTTTTGAGTTTGTATTGAAGGTCTAATTCTAACTGTTGGGACTACAGCAGGCACTGAACATCCTTGGTCCTGGAAGACACAGCCTTGGCATCTTAGCTGTAATGCAAGAAAGAGGAACAGGGATAGGAGGAAATCGACTTTATTTTGAAGTTGATTCAAAACCAGCTCTGCCCAGCAGCTGCTGCAGCCTCTCCTCTCCCCAGTCTTCTCTGGAGCCTGGGGCTGCCATGGGGCTGTGTGATGCCTGCATCCCACCACTCTGCTATAGCCATGATGGGGAACAGGAGCTCAACAAAGCTTTGGGACTACAAAGCAGCTCCTGATTTATGCACAGCCACTCCCCCAGGGCTCGGTGTCCCTTGGATCTCAGCAGCAGTGAGAGCTCTGCCATGTCAGCAACAGGTGATGGGAAGAAGTGCCAGTCAGGAGTGTGTGTGGAGGGGAGCCACAGAGCAGATGGCAGCAGGGAAATAAATTCGGAGCTGCCATGGGAATAGTCCTGGAAACAGTCCAGCCTATGGATGGAGGCAGATGGGAAAGATTTGGTTTAAATCTCTTCCCGGTTTTGCTTTTTTCCAGGAGCCTTTATTTCCAGTTCTGTTATCTCTTGACCATCCCTTCCTATTACTCCCTTATCCCTTTTTTCCCCCCTCTTCTTATTCTGTCTTCTTTTCCACCTTTTGTTCATACTCACACTATATCTGAGCTTCTGAATGTTGCCCACCCTGCATCTGCTTCCTTATAAATCTATTCCCAGTTCTTCTACTCCCACCTTCACAGCTGATCCAAAAAGCTTCCCTTGGCACTGGAAGGCTCAGCTCATCACTGTGAGCTGGAGCTCAGCATGGAAGAATCCTGCCTTTGCCACATCTTGCTGCTTTCCTTCTCTGCTGTCCCTCTGCTTCCCTGAGAGCACCAGGGGGCTCCCCTGGTGCCTGGGGTGTTCATTCCCCTGTCTCTGCAGTGATGTCCTTGCTGGTTTTGCTCTGGATGTGGGCACGTCCTGGCTGTCTCTGCCTCGTGTTCCTGTGAGTGCCTGTGGGATGATTCAGGGGTGTCGAGGCACATCCTTGGACACAGAGCTGGATTTGAGACTTCCAGAGCACTTGTGGGATACTTCAAAGAGAAACCGTCCAGTTTTGAAAGGACAAGGTGGAAAATTCCCATTCTGGTTCAGGTGTGATTGTGTCATGCAGGGTCTCTGGCTGGGGGGACCAGGGGCCATCATCCCCTGGTAGTCCTCTCCAGATGATCCACAAACACTGGATTTGGGCCACAAACACTGGATTTGGGCCACAAACACTGGATTTGGGCCACAAACACTGGATTTGATCCACAAACACTGGATTTGATCCACAAACACTGGATTTGATCCACAAACACTGTTCTGCTGCCAGTGCTGGGAGCAGGGAGCATGTTGGATACTGAGTGCTGGGAGAGCTGGATTAGCCCCCAGGGTCAGTCCTTGTACCAAACTGTCCAGCATTTCTGTGCCACTGGGGACTGCTGCCTCTTATGTCTCTCTGATGGATCAGATACAACTGCAAAGATCTTTTCCCTGTAGAGAGCTGTATCTGTGTCCCCTCTCCTCTCAAACCCAACTCTCTTATTGGTGGCTTTCCTGTAAACTTTGTCTTTATACTAAAACAAACAAAGAAATGTTTTTTAAAAATTGTTTTGTTTTTGCCTCAGAAGAGCCAAGGAAGTTTATAGTTGAGATCTGTTGGGCAAGAGTGCTCTGTTGTGGGAAGACGCATGCAACCTGAGACATTTAAAATTTAAAAAGAAAATTGATCTGGCCTCAGGACAGGAAGGGTAGGGAGCAATGTGGGACTCTCATTTTATGGGGAGCCTGGTGAATGGCAGTGTGCTCTTCTGTGCAGGTGCACTGTGCATTGCCAGCAGCACGTATGGAGCAGGAGGCACAGCATTACTTTAGGAGGTGCACAGGTGCTCTGCTGCTGGTATTTACTGCTGCTTTCTTTGATGATGGTGACTAATAGTTCATCAATGCTGGCTTAGAACAGCTCTCTTTAGGAGTTTCTGCCTGTTGAATGACAGCAGGATGTGTGAGCAAGCTGAGAGACCCAGACCTTTTCTGGCAGAATTCTCAGGGCAAGAAAATACTCTAGAAATCACAACATGAATCATTTGTTTATCCCAGTGGATGACACTATGCCCCAGCCATGCTGCTCTGCAGCTGGGTGGGATCAGTGTGTCCAGGGCAGCTCCCTGGAAAACCTACAGGACAGGTTTAATGTTAAAAACATGACATGCCGAGCCTGCTATGCCCTGCTGTGCACTCACTGGTGTATTTGTAGCACTCTTCCCTCTGGGACCTGTGGGTGCCTGGTGCACAGACCAGGGCTCGGGCAGGGCTGGCACAGCTCCATTCTGGGGCACCCTCTCTTTCCTGGGGGTGTCTGCTCCCTGACACGTTTCATGGGGCATTCATGTCTCTCCTTGGCACTTGTGCTACACCTGCACCACCGCTGTGTTTGATCACCTGGGCTTGGGAAGGAAAGGGAAATTGTCCAAAGTTATCTGCCTAAAACCAGGCAAGAAACCAAGAGCTGCAGTAAGGTTGCTCCAGTCCTGCTGCTGGACCAGGAGGCCAGAAAGTCAAACAAAATCAAGTTTTAATTCAAGTCTGCTCTGGGGGATCAGTAGGGGCTTTGCAGGGTGAGCTGTGCCAGGGAGCTCCACAGGCATCCACAGATCTGGGTCTTCCTGTTTCTTGGCCAAACTTTCTCCCTCTCCTCTCTCCTCCAGCCCAGCCTGTCGTGGTGTTGTGGACACTCGTGTGTTTGTGCACACGAAATGTTGTGAGGTCCCAGTGTCCATCCCTGCTCTCCCCACCCCTCTGCATCTGCCAAACCACTGCTGATTGCAGCCACTTCCAGTCAGGGTGTGGCAGCTGCTGGCACCGAGCAGAGACACTGCTCCATCACCCAGGATGGGAGCAAAGGCTCCTGATGGAAATACCTGGGTATTCTGGGGAAAGCAGGAAATGACAGCTGGGTGGGAGGGTGCCAGAGCTTTGTGCAGGGAGCTAGAAAGGAATGAGGATGGTTAATGGTGCAAACTCTATGTGCATTGCCAAAATGAACTCATGTCTGTAAATATTACACTGTGCACAGCAAGATTAGAACAGGAAAATACCAGTTGTTAGGGTCCCTGTTGCCATCTGAATTATGCAAACAATTTGCTGGAGTTTATAGATGAGCTGGGGCAGAATAACATTGGGTTTTTCCTCGCCAAAGTGTTTCAGTGCATTAGTATTTTAGCATGCTTCCCTGCCTCAATCTGCTGCACCAGTGGATCCATGCTGGGCTCTTTTGGACTGGCATGCTGTCAAGAGTGGCCTTTTCCAGGCCATGTTGGGAACCTGGAGATGCCAGGATGCTGGTGAGATGCTGAGGTGGGTGTGAAGGCTCAGGGCTCACCAGCCCAGGGCTGAGGCTGGAGGCTGTGCACGTGTGTGTGGCTGGGGAGCTCCTGGGACCTCTGCAAGCAGGAGGCAGAGATGGTCCTGGCTGTAGCAGGGCTGCTCTTCAGAGGCCAGACACCACCAGGATGGGCTCCCTGGAAGGAATGATAAACATTGGCTCTTCCCAGTGGCTGTCAGGGAGGTTCAGTGACTTTCCCACGGCCGTGCAGTGCGTCAGTGGGGAGGCAGGATTAGCAGCTGGGCGTCCCTGGCCCCCAGCCCTGAGCATTACCAGCAGCAGTTGCACAATCCAGAGGGAGTGCAGAGCTGCTGCAGCCTGGGGGTCCCCCCAGGAGTGACCCCGAGCCAGAGCTCCCTCCCTTCCTGCTGTGACTTGTATGGAAACAGGTCAGCTGGATCCATGGAGCCAGGATCTTCCTGAGAGCTCCCTGAGTCAAGAGGACAGAGGCATGAGCCAGTGCCTCTAAAGCCATGCCAGATGCTGGAGAAGCCCCATATCATGACACCCATCTTTCTAAGTGCTGCTCTTCAGGGATTTGCTCCCTTTGAGCAGTTAATTCTCTGAGCTTCCTTAAAGAAGAAGCTGGGGAAGGACCAGGAATGGCAATGAAACTTCAGCATGGCCTCCATGTTGAGAGAAAATCCAACCCACCCATGAATGGATGTGCTGGTACTTCTGTGGGCTGCCAGCTGAGTCCCTTGGGGTACAGCCACATCCTTTCTGGGCCAGAAGACAGCCCCTTGCTGGCTCCTGGGGCTGCAGCCCCTCTGGCCCCCACAGGGCTGTGACCCACCTCTTCCCTTCAGCCATGGCAGAGCAGCAGTAATGTCGGGTCTGTTATTTAGCTCAGGACTGTTACGAGACACAATCTCGCTCTAAAGCCAAGGCCAAATACTACCAGCATGGGGTCAAGTTCATGAGTTCATTTTGCCTTTGGGACTAATTTGGGTGCTGAGTAGCTGGGCAGGTATTTGACTGTTGCCTGCAGAGACCTAGAGGTCTCAGGATCCTATTCTTCTCCCTCAGATCACCTAAAATGGTAAGAATTTCCAAGGGGGATTAAGGTTGTGATCTCTGGGGAGGGGAGTGGACATCTGGTAGGAGTCCTGTCCATATTAATAGCCTCTGTTTAAATGTATGTAATCAAATGGGGCAGCTCCTTATCAGCCTAGAGACTCTGAACTCCATTACCTGAGGGGTTGCTGGAGACTTTGGGCTGCTGACCATGGCTTTCCACAGGCACACAGGTAAAGTGGATGTGCTGCCAGGTGTTGTGGGAGTACACCTGGTAAATGGGGAGGAAGGTTTTGCTTAGAGGCTCCTGTGCCAGAGAAATAACTTCGAATGCAGACTTAAACCTCAGCAATCTGCAGCAATCTGTAATTCCTGATGGCAAATGGGCTGATCACCAGTGTGGGAGACTGGTGCTGGAGCAGAGTGGTGGTGGCCTCGTTTATTTTGTAAAATGCATTGGATGGAAAATGTTTTTGTATCTGCTGCTGTGGGAAGGCTGGGGCTCAGCTGTTATGTGAGCAAGACTTGGTGAAAATGGGCGACAATGCTCCTCCTTGCTGCAAGTTTATTGCAGTGATCAGAGAAACCCAGAGCAGAGGGGAGCCCAGTGTGTAAACCCAGATTTGGGTTTGCTCTGCTCTGGTGGCAAGTCTGTGGTTAGTCCCTCTTCTCTGTCTTTTAGTTCAGATGGGCTGACCCTTCCCAGTGATAGGAAAATGTTAATTTTTCCATTAACACTGACAGGAACCTTGAGATCATATTTTACTTGTCTCCATGGCATGCAGCTCTGTGGTGCCTTCCCACCCTGACTTGTTCCTCCAGCCCTGCAGCTGAAGACAATCAGAAGCTCTTTGGGGATTTTGAAAGCCTGTCTCATCCTTAGAAGCTGTTTTTGTGCATACCCAGGGTGTATTCACAGCCCTACAGTACAGAGGCAGAACATTGCATTTCTTGGTGACACAGCCCTGAGGGTGGATGTGGGTGATGGGGAGAGGGTGTCAGTTTGGGGCACAGCTCCTCAAACTGAGCTGCTGCACACCAGGAGTGCTTGTGAGATTTGGGAACAGAGAGCCTCCTCAAAACTGGGGAGAAAAGGCACAGTTTGCTGCTCAGCTTCCTGCTCAGCCTCCCAGGACAAAGCACACACGTGAGGCTGCTTGCACAGCACATAACTGCTCAGGATTTGCTTGTGGGATGCTCATACATGTTATGCAGGGCACCATTGTGAGTAAAATCTGACTTCTGTGGTGTCATTTGATGTAAGAAGATGTTTAACTTCAGCCCACAAGGCTGACCAATGCTGTAGCATCCTTCCATTATACTCCCAGCTATATAATTTTTTCTTTCTCATCTTCCTCAGAGCATGTCCCAGGGGAAAGAACTCACAGACCTGATGCTGTGCTGTAATATAAAATGCTGCAGGGTGCTCTGAGCAGATGCTGAGGTTGCAGTGCTGCTGCCAAACAGTCACAGCACGATGTCAGATCCTGCAGACCACTGGGATCCCCGGGGCAGCTCTGGGTATCACAGTGGCTGCTCAGGGTAGGGCTGAATCCTCCAGAGCAGGAGGAAATCTCATTTTGGCACCTGGGAGTACCTGAGTGTGAGGAGGGCATCCAGCTGCTGACGTGGGGCAGACCAGGGGTTAGCTGGAAACATAATAGGGGAGTCTCAAAGGACAAAATTAATGCAGCCACAGAGTTAGTTACTGAACAGGATTTGTTTTATTTTGAAAGGTTTGGACTCTGTTGCTTAAACTCTACCTAAAGTGCTCAGCCTTACTCGAGGCAGTGGTGCCTTGTTAGCCTTCACTAAGCTCTGCACTGAGTGCCAAAGCAATCCCTGGGGAAATGTTTGCAAGGCTGGGCCAGTGATTTTTAATAAACAGCATGTCCCTGCTTCCCTGGGGATCTGTGAAGATTTAGTAATGACTGGGATGTGCTCAGACATGGTGGCAATAGGACCGTAGGGAATGCTTTTGGCAACTGCCTGAGGAACTTGGAACTGTTCTTGCTCTAAATAAAGAAGCTTTCATTTTATCAACAGATGAATTTTTGAATTATAGAGTATGAGACTCACACGTGCCCCAGCCTGGCAATGGGAGAGCACAGCTCTGGTATTTTCAGCCCTCCCAGCAAAAATGACCTACAAGAGATTTATTTTCTTTCTTTCCTTGGGCTTTGCAAATGTTTGTGCCAATTCAGTCCTGAGTGTCCCCTTGCATTTGGGATTAACAGGACTCTTCTTTTAAGGGTTTCCCAGGTATTTATAGCAAACCATGCGACATTGCATAAAGGAATGCTGAGAATAGAAACTCAGGTGACAGAGCAGGGCTGCCAGGGCTGATCTGAAACAGGCAGGTGTAGCCAGTGCCTGGCAGTGTGGGGCTGTGTACTCAGTCTGCTGAGAAAATAGAAAACTAATGGAGAGTCAAAAAGCACTTTTTCTTCCATATGCAACTGTGTGTAGGGCAGAGGGTTAACAACTCCAACCTCATCTTCTTTCCTAAGTGGCAGAATAAGCTGTAAAGTGTAAGTGCAGTTTCTCTGGTTGTGTTTAGAGACTACACTTGAAGTTCTTCCTCAGTGGTTTATCACATTTAAACATATTCCCCAGAGACATTAACACATAGCCTGTGCTAAGTGCTTTGCTTATCAGCTGTGCTCCAGCTCCCTTCCCTGAGTGCTTTGGTTCCATTTATTGTGCAAACCACTGTGATGCTGCTTTGGTTTTTTTGTCTGAACTGGGATGAACCAGCCCAGGGTGATGGCAGGAGCCCAGGGGGACGCAGGGGTTGTGTGGATGCAGCAGCTTTTGTGGGGTGGCACTTCTTAGATCTGTACCCATTCCATCCCAAAGCTGGCCATGCTGCAGGGTGCAGATGTGACCCTCGGTGAGCCCTTGGTGCTGGTACCACTTGAGGGGCAGGGAAGCCCCTGGGGCCTGAGTGTTTGAGATCTCTGAAGGATGGAAGGTGTGGGTGCACAGGGGCTGTTTTTGTCAAGTAGAAGATGCTTTCAGGGAACAGGTGGTGAGCTGGCACCTCTGTGGTCAGGTAAATGCTAGGGTTATATTCCAGCGGGTCTTTGTGCCAAACACCCTGATATGTGAGAAGGCCACTGGCCTGGCCTTCTGCCCTCCAGCTGTAGCCAAATCCATCAAGGAGCTACATTTAGAGAGCACCCTGCCAGGGCTGCTGGGACAGGGATCCCTTGCTTAAAGTGAGATTAATTTCTGGAAGTATAGCTGTATTTTTCTTCATCTCTTATTGAGGGTCCTCTAGGCTATTTAAGGATGGGCACATTCTGCATTTACCCCCCGTCCCCAGCTGTCTGTGCTCACTGTTTCCACCTGCTTCTCTCCAGCAGAACAATCCTCTGCACATGCCTGGGAGGGGGAATATTTCCAGCCTGTCCATACTTTTCCTCTGCTTTCTAAATCCCATTCTGTGGCCTCAGTGTCAAGCTGACATGGGGTTTGGATCAGTGCATGTCCTCAGGGTGTGTGATTCTCCTGGGGCTGAACAAGACACACTTGACCAGGCTGTCACCTCGGAGATGCCATAGTCTGGGGTAAAGGTACAGCCACAGAAACTTGTGTTCAGGTGACTTCCAAGCTAAAACATCTGCATGTACTGCTCTCATTTTAAGCACAGCAGTGTGAAAAGATGCACAGAGGTTCAGTGCTCTGGGTTTCAGTGGTAGTTTGGTGAGCACTGTTGTACCCCTGGTGTGAATCCCTACCCTGTGCTCAGCAGTTGCTGCACTGCTCATGCAGGAAGTGATGATGAGGACACAAAATAAAGACCCTGAGGAAGTAATGATTTTCCCATATACCCAGTGTACTCTTAGTTTCATAACTTGCTTACTTTTCAGACAGTAAAGACAGGCCAGGGTTAATATACCTGGAAGCTCTGGAAAGTTATGCTGTGGGGACCTGGTGCAACTGAGGGTGAACAGGTTATTAATGAGATAAACAACTCCAAACCCATGACCTGCTGCCAAGCAGGCTTTAGAAATACATTTATTTTTATATAGAGCACGAGAAATATCTGCTCTGTTTACCTTCCATGAGAGGGGACAGGACTGCTGAGGGGACCAGCTGTAGGATACTAAATGAATCTGAGCTTTGAAGTGTCCACAGATGTTTGCTCCATTTGGGGAAAATAATCTGGTGGTCCCAGCACAGCTGCTACTGTCCCGGGGCTCCATCTGCCACACACTGGTGGCTTCCAGGGCTCTTGTGCACCATACCCTGGGTGGGCTGGTCCCGTTCTTGTGGGAGGGTGACTGATGTGGGCTTCAGACAGGGCACAGGTGAGCAGAGCCATGAGCAGCCACCACATTTACAGGGGCAATGCCACCACTGCATCTTCACCGCAGGCAAGGGGACAGAGGTGCCTTTCCTGGCTCTAAATCAGGAATTCAGGAATGATAGTGCTGAGGGCAGGAAGCCTCTGGAAAAGCTGGAAGCAAATTCATGCCCAGTGTTAATTTGCCTGTGGAGCTCCAGAGCTGCTGTGATAAATGTGTCTCACGTTAGCACATGATGTATTACATGGAACTTGGGGTTATGCTGCTCCGTGAGCCATACTTTCAAGATCATGTGTTCAGGTTGAAAACAACCCTAAACCTGAGATCAGGGACGTTTCAATACCATTTGCCCTGGACTCTGCAATTGCTTTTCTTCCAAATAAAAGCCACCTGCTTGCTGGTGGTGGCTCACATAGTTTCCCAGCTGTTTATCTGTTTCATTTGCTTGAGCAGGTACCTCAAAGCCCTTGGTGAAGTTGTCAGCAGGACATGGCATCCCCTGGCCTTGCCAAGGGAATATTCCCAGACCTTGGTCCCCCCACAAAGTACAATTCCTACCAGCTTAGCCTCCAGCCTGCCTCTGTCAGTTTTTGGGGGAAGGAATAGGGTTTGAACAGAGCCTCCATCTCTGCTGCAGCCTCCCCATGTGATACTTTTTTTCAGGGCTCTCCATCCTGTTTTCTGAAATACAAATCCTTCAACTTGTTCTGCCCCTGTGTTACTGAGAGAAGTGTGGTGACTGTTGGATTTTAAAGCCTGCAGGGTAACAGTGTGAGTGCCACTCTTCCTGGGCCCAGATGAGGCAGATGCTTTGCTGCGATGGCAAAGTCCTCTGGCTTTGTACCAGCAGTGTGGGGCTGTTCCTGGTGTGCTGCAGTGCTCTGGTGAGGTTGAGCCCTATAGCTGATGGTACATCTGGATTTACTGGGGTAGGGAAGTGTCCATGGAAATCCTGTGAACAGGCCCATAACAGGGCAGACCAAGAGCATCCTGCAGCCAGGGATGAGCCCAGCGGGGTCCCACTGACCCTGCACAGCCTGGAGTGACACACCCTCTCTGCACCCCAAAAGCCCCACAGGTTTGGTTGATAAAGGCACATTGTGCTGGGCTTGGAGCAGCACGGCTGGAATAAGCACTGTTGTACCACCGAGCTCAGTGAGGAGCAGGCTCCAAGGTAGCCCCCAGGGCTGGGTGGGGTGGTCCACGGTGAGGCCAGTGATGGAGGCAGCAGCAATGTGCATGGCCTGACTCTGTCCTCTCCCTTCCTTGCTCTGTGCTGACGGTGCTGCTCTGTCGGGAAGAGAGGACGTTTCCTCTTGGCAGTCTCTGTTGCCAGACCACAGCCACGTTTCCCATCTGGTTGGTGATGATGCAGAAAGTTCAAGGCTGTGTCCCCGTGCAGGGAAATGGACTCTGCAGTGCTGGGGCTCTGGGGACACCAGTGGCAGAGGCAGGGATGGAGCTGCCTCTGTGGGACTCCATGGACTTCTGTAACTCCTATGTTCCCTCCCTGGAAGTGCTCCAGGCCAGGTTGGATGGGGCTTTACCTGATGTAGTGGCTGGCACCCTTGTCCATAGCAGGGGTTTTGGAACAAGGTGATCTTCAAGGTTCCTTCAAACCCAAACCAGTCCAGGATTCCCTGAACCCTTGTAGGGCCCTCACAAGAGTGTTGGTGGCTTCTGCTGAGGAAGGGTGCATGGAGTGGAGGGAGCCATTAGCAGGAGACTGGGAGTGCAAGAAGGGATGGGTGTCTGGGGAGAAAGCGTGAGCCAAAGTGGAAAATCCTCCAGTCAAGATTCCCCACAGCTGCTGACAGCTCCCTGGCCATGGTGGAACATCAGACCTTGGCAGAGCCTTGACAGTGTGAACTAAAAAATATCTCTCCATGGAGGCAGATCTTTTCTTGGATTTTATTTTATTTTTTTATTTTTTTCCCTTATGATTTGATATGTGAAAGCCTGGTGAAAAGAGGCAGCTGGAAGCTGCACAACTATCCAGCACAAAAGGCCTTGCAGGGCTGCAGCTGGCTGGGGGTTCAGGCTGGAAACATGGAAACAATTCCACTTTGCTCATGTTTGTTGGGGATTTCTGCACACAAGTGATGCTGTGCCTCAGCCAGGACCTTGCTGAGGCCCGTGGTAATGAACTAAGGGGCTCCCAGGGAGTGACTGGGTGTTTGGTAAATAAACCAGTCTAGCATCCTTCCACTTATCACGGGGATGGGGAAAAGTCTGATTGGAGACTGTTCTCCTCGATTGGAGCTGCTTGCTCTCTCAAGGAGCCCTGGAGGAGTGTGATAACAGCAGCACCACCACATGCTCTTCCCTGAGCCGCCTTCCTCCTACTGACCTGGAGCAGCTTCCAGGGTCTCAGTGCTGTCTCCTCAGCTGCTGTGCTCTCTGCAGGGCCTGGCAGCTACACCGTGGGCACCATGTCAGAGCGCTTCGACTGCCACTACTGCCGGGACCCTCTGCAGGGCAAGAAGTACGTGCAGAAGGAGGGGAGGCACTGCTGCGTCAAGTGCTTCGAGAAGTTCTGCGCCAACACCTGCACCGAGTGCAAGAAACCCATCGGGGCCGACTCCAAGGTCAGTGCTGAGCACCTCAGGGGGTGATGATCATGATCACCCTCCTGTTTGCTCTGAGCTACTGTGGAAGAGCAGCTCTTTGGGAGTCCTCTGGCTGCCAGCCGTGTGCTCATAGCACAGAGCGGTGCTGGGGCGTGCACAGGGATGCTCGTGGTGGCCGCTTTGGCACAGGAGCTCATTTCAGGGTCCAGGTTCAGCCACATGAACTGCTGCAAATGCTGAATTGCCCTGGAGAGAGAACGGCAGGGAACCAGCTTGCATAGGGCCTGCAAAACTCATCTTCTTGGCAAAGCACTGATTTTTGTCAGTTTATCAGATGCTTATTGCTTCATGATGGAAATCAAGAGTTCTTTATATATAAATAAATATATAGAGAGAGAAAGAGAGAGCAGTTGGATGGCAAGGTGGTTCTGATGGGTTTTTTCCCTTATGTTAAATTATAAAAGTATCTCTGATGTTCAGACACCGTAACAGCAGGCAGGACATGAAGAAACACAAACTGCAGGACCTGCAAATATCTGCAAACCTGGTAGCTGAAACTGTTTGGATCTCCATGAAAACTGGAAATTGGTTTGTTGCTTATGTATAGAAATATGGTATTACTGAAGTCATTAGCATATACCTTCAGGGCCAGATAAACATTTATGGCAATAAAAATGTACACCTGAACTAGAGGGAATGAAAGAATCTGAGAAGTCTACACTTGCAGAACTTCAAATCTCCAAGCTGTTGGTTTTAAGCATCTTCTGCCCCCCAAAAATCCAAAGTGAATGTGATTGTGTGAGTGAGTTTGGTTAAATGCCCTTCCCTTAAGTGCTTGAAGAGAAGCTGTAGCCCTACCCACTAGATCACACAAACTTAGGAACAACAAATCCATCCTTTACTGCCCAGGCTGGTGAGACAGGAGCTTGGCTTTAAAGCTGTTCAGGGGGAGAGAAAAGCTTCTCACTTCTCTGTCCCTTCCTTTCTGTTCTTTCCAGGAGCTGCATTTCAAGAACCGCTACTGGCACGACAACTGCTTCCGCTGCTTCAAGTGCTACACGTCCCTGGTCAACGAGCCCTTCATGCTGAGGGAGAACAACAAGGTTTGGTGCAGCAACTGCACTGCTGCTGAGGATGCACCCAGGTGTAAGGGCTGCTTCAAGCCCATTATTGCAGGTACTGTGCCAGTGACAGGGGGCTGAGGGCCACATTCTGCTCTAGGGCATAACCAGGGTGGTTTTTCAGGCTGTGGAGGCTGCAGTTAGGGGTTTGGGCATCACAGTGGGAGGCTGGAGCACCTCAGAATAGTAAATTTAGACTGTTGCTCTCACCTGTCCATTTTATTCAGGTGTTGAAAGGCTGCTTTGCAGTTAACCATCATGTGGATAATTTACATTAGTCTTAAACCACTTCTACCAAAAGCTTTTTCAGTAAATCAAGGTCCTACAAGGCTCAGGCACCTGATCTGATAACTATTTTAAGAAAATCCAGCAGGGCCTGCCTAAAATCAGAAACAGAATTTACCAGCTCATCCTTTGTCTGCATTCCAGTGCAATCCTGGGCATAGCTATGGGCAGGTCTTGCCCATAGATGTTATGCTGCACAGGGGGAAGGGTTTGCCACAGGCCTGAAATCTCACAGGACAAGTGATTTTATCTGTTGTAGGAGACCAAAATGTTGAGTACAAGAAGATGGTCTGGCACAAGGACTGCTTCACCTGCAGCCAGTGCAAGCAAGTGATTGGATCTGGGAGCTTCTTCCCCAAGGGTGATGAATTCTACTGTGTCTCCTGCCATGAGCACAAGTTTGCCAAGACCTGTGCTAAGTGCAAGAATGTAAGTCCTTGACCTCTGCAGAGGCAGTTGCCAGAATCAGCCCTCGTGTGCCTTTTGGGAGCTGGGAGGGTGAACCTGCAGGCAGACCATGCTGAAGCTGTACCAATGCTGATGTTCCTCCCCTGAGATACTGGTGCCAGCAGCTGGTGGAGTGATGGGAGAGCCAATGGCTCCTGTGCATTGCAGGATCTGGGCAGGGGTGGTTGGGTTAGCTGATGGCAACACTGCAGAAAATAAGTTATATCAGTCTTGCACTTGCCGTGGGGACAGTTTAAGCTCTGCAGTGATACTGAATATTCAGGAAGTGAAATAGTAGCTGTTTCACAACTTCTGCAACTGATTAGTGTGAAATTTCAGTTACTGCAGGTAAAAGAAAGTATTATGAAAGTGCCAGGTATGGGGGATTTCATGTTAGAGGGACTCAAATGCATTGTGCAATTAAATTTCGATGCAAACTTTGGAAAGATCCTCTCCATGACAAAGCTTTCCTATCCTACGCCCCATCCTGTATCATCTCTCTTCCCCCCTGCTGATTCTGAACCACACCTCTGCTCTTTGTCTCCCAGCCCATCACTTCTGGAGGCCTCACTTACCAGGAACAGCCTTGGCATTCCGAGTGTTTCATTTGCTCCAACTGCAAGAAACAACTGGGTGGGAAGCGCTTCACAGCTGTGGAGGATCAGTTTTACTGCGTTGAATGCTACAAGGAGTGTGTTGCCAAGAAGTGTGCTGGATGCAAGAATCCTATTACAGGTATGTTGGGTTAAATGCAGCTCGAGGGCAGTGGGAGCTGAAGGTCAGGACAGTGATCCCCCAAAGACAGGGAGCCCAGGGATGGGTAACATCAGAAGCAGGTCTGGTAACCCAAGCCCAATCCCAGTATTTTACATGTGATCTGACTCTGAGCCACGTGCTTGTGCTGGACGGAGGCTGAGCTAGTAACTGAGCCCTTCAGCCTCTGCATGTCTCAAATTTACCTCCTCCAAAACTCCCCCAGACAGAACCGTTCCCACCCATCTTAGTTTGGGACCCCTAAGTCTAAAACGAGTGGTGTTTTATTGTCCCAAAGGGACATTTGTACCCCTCAATAAAAAGATGTATTTTATATTTAAAACTCACTGGATTACAGAGCTCAGCCCTGAAGTATGGCACTGTCCTGCCAGTCCCATGAGGCTCACCTTCCATCCTGCATTTCAGAGCATGGATCTGAGCCCAGAAGTGTTTAGCCCAACCTCTTATTGCTCCACCTCTCTCCTTGACTATTTGCTGGAGAAAGGAGCCAAGGAAAAAAGTTCATTGCAGAGACAAGCCATGCAAGCCTTATGCTAAGATGCTTGTTCCTCCAAGAAACATCAGAAGATGCAACAAAACCATGCCTGAGCTGGCAGTTTGGTGTTTCAGGCACCATGCCCCTGTGGCCTGCAAGCGTGGGGAAGCACTGGGGCAGCAGGAGCAGGCTGTGCTGCCTGGTGGGATAACCCAGCCAAGGCAAAGCTACTATCGCCGTCCTATAATTGTGTTCTCTCCTAGCAGGATTTGGAAGAGGAACCAGTGTGGTTAACTACGAAGATGAATCCTGGCACGATTACTGTTTCAAATGCACAAAGTGTGCCCGTGGTCTGGCCAACAAGCGCTTTGTTTGCCATAATGGAAAAATTTATTGTGCTGAGTGCCCCAAACGACTGTAAATGAGCAGATGTAAGATGGATTTAAAAGCCCTGCTTTCCCAAACAGTCCTGGTAAAAGAGCAGGTTTTTGCATGTTGAGAATTTTAACTTTTTTCCATTTTAGTGTAAGAACTAAATTAGCCTCAATATACTGGGTTTGACTTTTGAAGCTCCTGCAGTACAAAAGCATGTAGCCTTGCAAAAATCTAACCTTGTTTCCAAGTAACTCCTAGTATAAAGGCTTGAAATGCTGTTAGATTTAGAGATCCACACACTGCATCATCTGTGTGTGGCTTAAACTAAAACAAATCTAGTTTTAAACTTATCTGGTATATGATTAAGCTTGGCACTTAACTGAAGTGGGTTTGACAAGGCATGCACCTCTGACAGAGATGCAAGGATTGCACCTGGGATCAGAAGGATCCATTATTATGCTTCTACAAGTACAGATCACAACAAACACCACACCATTAATAAGTAATAAATACCTTAGCTTACTTTACAACACCACATTACAGCACATGTACGGAATGGCTTCATCTTACAGATAACAATGTTTGGGCAGTGACATTTAGCTTAGTTAAGTTTCCATAAACTTGTTTTAGTCTTGATTTCCGCATGGTTTGCCTGCAAGTTTTCCTCATCAGCTTTTTTTATATCATTGTTTAAACAAGGCTGTCTATGTACAATTATTAATCCATTAACAAGTAGTAAATCTTTCACCTACAACATGCACATACATTTACAAGTGCCTTTTAAAAATAGCTCATACAAGGCTAGCTCTCCTATCATGTCAGTATATGTTTAGTGACTGAATAAAAGTGAGACTAGTGCCTGCTTGGAATCTATAGTCTGGACATTTTTTTTTTCATGTTGCCATCTTACATGATTGACGTGTCTTAGGGGTGAATTACTGAAACCAAGTCTACTACACTGATACTGACAAAGTAAGAGTCAGCTGTGCTGTCATTGCACCCTTAAATATCTGAGGACTAAAGGAATAATTTCCATAAACTAATTAATTTTTTAAATATATAACTGACACTGGACCATCTGCCAGAAACAGCCTGTGTGAAAAAGCCCTTTGGAGAGCATATGTACAGCCACTGCTGATGCACAGATCTACCACGCTTCAGCAGTCTGAATGCTGGTTCAAGGAAGGGTTTTTTTCCACAGTAGTAAAATATTTTATCAGCTGGATCTGCTCCAGCCATTCCCTTTCAAATACTGATAAAGAACCCTTGCAAGGAAATGAAAAGGCAGCATCTTGCTGGTCACTGCTCCACTGCTGGACCCACCCTCACAACACAGAGATGCTGCTGCTGCAGGGGAAAGGCAAAGGCTGGCAGGGAAAAGCAGGTTAAAAAATTCCTCAGTTCAGAACACACCATCAGCAGGGACAAACACAGCAGGAGCTGAAGGTGTTAGTGCAAACCCCTCTCAACCACACAGATGCCAGAGGCTGCTAGTTTGGGAATCTGCAGTTGGAGAAGCATCTGAGTGCAACCCAGGGCAGGTCAGCATGGCAAGGGGTGGAGAGGCCTAGTAAAGTCACATTTAACATTCCAGAAATAAAGCATTGTTCAACTGCAAAGTTTATTTAACTGTGTGCACGTATTTACACAGGGCTGGATCAGATCATCCAACAAATCTCAGCACAGAAAAAATATCGGCATCTTTGTTAGAATGATTGTCTCTGCCAGAACAAACAGCTATCATACAAAAATACAGTTTTCCTTTTACCTAAGGCACTGCTCTAAAGTCTAAAACAGTTCTACAGTATTTCTGAACAGCAAGAGGGAGAGGGCTCCTGTTGCAACTGAGGTGTCGAGGAGGGAACAGGTGCAGTTCCAGCAAACCCACTGCAAACACAGCTGGAGCTGAGGGAGCAGCCAATGGCTTGTAGCAGGTTTTGAGACAGCCACTCTTTTAAAGTAATCACCTATCCAGTCTATCTGGTACAGGAGACATCAGAACAAGGCTGAATTATTACTTTTAGTAGCAATTTTCAGAAGATGCTTCGTTAATCTCTTCATGCTGAAAAACGCAGGCAAGTTCAGGTTAAATAGATTATTTAATGCAGGCTTTAGGGGAAGGGAAATATATATGCAGCTTGCAGCCACTGTTATAGAGCTGGAACTGGAACATTTAGAATAATTAACATGAACAAAACATGACTTCAATGGTCTAATACTGTTATGTACACAATAAAATAATACTTCCATAAGTGTAGATAAATAAGTAATTCAAAAGGAAAACATTTTTTAAAAGCCTGACACCTTAAACTACACCAACAGACAAACCTAGGGACTCAACATTTTTGTAATATATTAGAGCACATGCTGAAAAATGTTTTGATGTTTGCCAATAGTTTTAAATGTATTAGTGATGGTATAACACTTGCATTTTGGAACTGCCAATATTTTCACATTAGATAATAAGGAATTTTTCTTCTCCATTCAAAACTGAAGATACTCAATTTTGCATTTTTAAATAGCACATGAACCAACAAGCAAAAACATTTTTCTAGAATTAAAAAGAGAGTTCAGCTTTAATGTAAACTGAGTGAGTCTTTTATTTCATCAAGATCATTTTAGAAATATGCAAAGTCTGCAACTAAATGGCGAGCCTCCAGTGGCATGTTCTACATGATACTGGTATGAAGAAAAAAAAAGACTCAATCAGGTTACTGTAAAGTCTGCAAAGGGGAAACAAGGAATATTTCAACTAGGAAACCTTATCTAACAATTAGCAAAATCAACGAAAAAAGAACATTAGCACAACAGTTTAGTTTCCCTGAAATGTTTCAAGGTGCAAATTAAGTTTGTCATCCCTCCCCTGGTGTTTTTTGCAAACTTGAAGATGGATAAAGGTAAACAAGCAGCTTTTCAAAACAAGGCCTTCGGTACTTGAGAAAACACTGGATTACTGAAGTGCAATCAGATTATTTCCAGGTCTCTAGTGTTCACAGTTCTGTCCAAAGAGCAAAGAGAAGAAAACATTTAACCATCATAACTGTGTGTATGCCACATGCATCCATCATCACTGTCAGTCTACATCCAGGAGTGAGCACAGAACCACTTGGTCACTCACAGTCCAAAACCAGCACAGAAGGTTTTCCTTCTTTTTACAGGAATATTAGTTTTCAAAGTTATGTACAGAATTCTTAAACTGTATTATGTCTAAAAATTTTCAAGTTCAAAATTAAAAGGCCACACTTCCTTCACTAAAAAGTTAATGAGACTGATCACAACAAAAAGTGATCAGCAGAATCACAATAAATTTGTCCATTCCCATGGCCCAGTCTGCTGTGGCCTCAAGGGAAGCCTCCATCAGGGTGTGCCCACGGAACTAAAATTCACAAGACGCAGAGTGACAGAGGAGACTCAGGAAACAGTTCAGTCTAGAAAAGTGCTACACTTTAATCAAAAAAAGTGCTACACATCACTGGAAGGAAATGTGGATAGCAAGGCTTGTTTTTCCACTAGCATTCACTTCAACTGATCACACAGTCATTTATCCCATGGAAAGAGATGTCCTGTGAAAACGGCCCTTTGGGGTTTGGCTCCAACACCAGAGAAGTCCAGCCTTACATAAACTGGCTTCCAGAAGCTTCTCTGACACCCTATGCACTGTACTGCATCTCAAGTATGTGTGGCTTGAGATACAGCCCTGCCTCTTACAGAAAATTCAGAATATTTAGTGTGTGTACAGCTTTATTATTCCTCCCAAAATGTAACACAACCATCTGTGGAATTTCAGGTTGGTGTTACTTGCCTCAGAGAAGTGAAAAACTGTTCTCCAGTGAATGAGAGGACAGCTAATACACTGCTAAGAGTCTGAAAAGACCTTGTAAGACCACACAGGTCAGCATCAAAAACAGAACATGCCTAGGAGTGGAGTTACATCAGACACCTTTTAAACTATTCTGTATCTTCAAAAGTAACATGTGCCATTTAACATATCTCAGAAAAACCTTTAATTATAACATAGGAGCTTCAATGCTGTTTGGAACTTCACAAGGGCTCAGCTGTGTCTTTGGAAGAACCTTAATGTTGGGCCTTATCAAGTCCCTAAAAAGGCATCAGTTGGTGACTCCTTTTGACAGAATTCAAGTTAAAAGCACTAAAGAGCCTTCCCTCCAGTCTACACATTGGAAAAAGTGCCTTGAAAATAAGAAGCTGTAGTTAAGGCAAGGAGAGCAAAACGCAAGGAAGTGAATTGCCTAGCCAGGGGAAGAGACAGGGAAGTCAGCTTGGATTACCTGATGAAGCATCTATAGGTTTGGTCAATGAATTCACTGCACCATCTTCCTCAAAAGCCAATTTGGGACTAGAAGGTATTGTAGCAGCATCATTCAAGTTTTGATTACAGTTACCAGCAGAGATGCTGTCCGAGCTCAGTTTGGTTGACTTGGAATGTACTCCAACGTCAATGAACTCCTCAAAAGTCCATGAACCAGATTTTCCATTAAGATTCTGAATAAGTCCAATTGTGTGATCAGCTTCATGAACACCCAACTTCCCCGAGTCATCGAGAACCATTTCTTTTGCAGGATGGCTACAGAAAAAAAATAAAGAGAGTGAGTACTTGTATTGCAGTTTCCATTATGTTTAACCTTTACATTGATTCCAGGACAGACAATTAACAGTCTGCATACTCTGCAAAGCACTGAATATCCCACAGGGCATTCCCAGACAAGCTCCAGCTGGCACACAGGATCTCCCCTCCAAAAGCCAATGAGGAAGAACAACTCAGCAATATACACCCATTTTTCTACTATACTAACAGCTCTCAGGTAAGGTTTCTGCCTCTAGAAATTTGATATAAGAAACTAATAAGTTTAAAGCCTTGATCATTAAGTCTTGATTCCTGTAGGGTGCATTTTTCCTTTTTTTCTTTCCTCCAGCTAAGACTTTTTGAACACAAACTAAGTCCCAGAAGACCAGCAATATTTAAAACAGATTCAAAAGCTAAACCCAAATTATGGATCAATTTTCATTCATTCTTAGGACAATCATGGAAATGTCTTTATATTCCATCACTAGAGGAACGACATTAATTTATCATCACTTTAAAGAAGTGTTCACAATGTCATTTCTAAATCATTAGCATTTAGATGAGCAAATGGAACAAGTATCAGAGGATAAATTTTCCAGTAGTAGATGAAAATACTCTACATTAAAAAAAAAATAAAATAAAAGAGTAAAAAACCAAATTCCTCACTAAGGGAGGCTTCTGCATTGTATCTGGTGTTTCAGCACAACCAAAAGCGTTCTATAACTTTCTGTAGGTTATTCTTCCTTTCCAGTCTTATCCTCCTCCCTCTTGCTTAATGTTTTCTTAATGACAAGAACTGCGAGGCATTTCAATGGAAAAAGTTTCAAGCTAATGTCAGCTTTTATAATCAACCCTGCCATGCTGCTGGCTGTGTGTCTCACTCCTCAGCAACGGCAGCACTGTTAACATGGTGCCACCTAAACATCCTGAGCTGCCTGCTCTGTGTGAGGCTGTGAGCTGACAGCACACTCCACACGGCTGGAGAAAGGCACACAGCCACCACAAAGCCAGCAAGGTGCTGCAGACAGCACTGCACTTAATTTTAACATACAAGAGCTTCCTTGTGTGGGAGCTAAGTGCTCGCACAGTAGAGCACTCACCTGGAATCCTTTAGGTCAGTAACAGACAGAGACCCCTCATCACTTTTCAAGTCACTTCCATTCATGAACACGTCACTGGTCTTCAATTCTGACTCATCTTGTGCCTCAGATTCTGCAGAGATCATGCTTTGTGCAGTCTCTAAACAATCCTCTGCCTCCCCCTTGACTTCCTGGAGCAAGTCAACACCATTTAGCTTTCCTGAACGTTGGGGGAGGAGGGGGGAGAAAAAATGAAATACAAGGAAAAGAAGAAATTGAATAGCAGAACTGCTACTGCAAACGAAAAAAATAAAAGTGCCAAAATAACCTTTCCTAGCCAAAACCTGAGGCACTTGGCTTCAAAAGATTAATTTGTCTATAGACAAGCTGCCTATACCAACATGAAATTTTTCATCTTTAAAAATCCACTTGTAAAATGAAAGCATGCTGCCTGCATTTCACTCTCAAATCAATTTGACTGATTCTCTGTTCAAGAAGGGAGTCTCCCTGGCATCTCTGGGACTGGTGTCTCAGACCATCCCAGTGCTGTTAGGACTGACCTTTTCAACAGAGCTTAAATTGAGACTCACTGCCACCCAGGCCTGACTCATTCAGCTTCCTTACCTGGCTGATCAGTCTTCTCAAGACCCAACTCTTCCTCCTCTTCAATATCCTCTCCCTCCATCACCTCCGAGGCAGACTTGCCTTCATTCTGCAACTGAATTGCCACAGTGTTACTTGGAACAACTGCCTGTCCTCTCCAGCTTCACAAATTCAGTCACAGCTCCCACACAAAACCATTCTGTGCCCAGAAGTGAGGCCACACGAGTTCAAAGGCTCACAGACAACCAGGTCACCCAGCAACGGGTGCTCTGCTGAGCCAGAGTCTGTGGGACCCACTCCCCTCTCCTACCTATTATTTCCGAGTTCCTTTTCCCCTTATTTCTCCAAGGTGTGTGCTAAATTTTTATTGTTTTTCAGCTATTGGAAGACTTGAATATCTGAATGTTCAAAGAAGAACAACTATTCCTCAATGTGCACAATTTTTCACAAAACTTAGCTGACTGCATCAACAAAAATACATCCAGTTTACTGTAGCAATAGCAATCTAAAGAGAATCCAAGACTTACTTTAAGCAAACAGATGATGTCAGAAATCTAAGTTTTCTGTGAAAAAACAGTCCTGACAGAATGCATACAGTTAAAAGAAATGTATTACTAACCAGTGTTAGGTTAAAATAGCGGTTCGAAAATCAAACTGGAAGTGATAACACCAGATAACATTGTATCCATAGGCCTGGAACATAAATGTAACAAAGACTTCCCAAAGCAAAGCAGAAGAATGCCGGCAATGGCAAGCTACTGGAAATTGCTCTGGTGCACAAGAACTTTGTACTTCCTGTGGAAGACATTTTGTGTAAGGATAAGAGAAGAAGACAGGATACAAGGCAAAAAGTCCTATTCTGTCATTATACAGAGCCAAATAAAAAAGTACCTTGGATTCATTTTGATCTGATTTTCGTGTTCTTTTCATTATTTCTTCAATTCTCTGTTAAAACATGGAGAACATTTACAATGACATACAGAGCTTTGTATTTCAGCATTCTGGTTAAAATTCATCAATCACAATGTATTTTCATATTTCATGAGTGTACTATTTTCATCACTCTTTTTAAATTTCCCAAACCAGAGCTGGCAGTCTTTAAAAAAACACACTTCTATTTAAATTGCATCTTAGACCATTTGCCTGTTCATTTTAGGCTGAGAATTCAAAACAGGCTACCTTTTTTCTTTCAAGCCTTTCCTGCATATTTTGCTGCATAATCCTCTCTCTTTCCAGTCGCTGTCTTTCAGCCTCTTCTTGAGCTTTTGCTTCAGCTTCTTCTCTCTGAAAACAAAAAGAAGAGAACAACCAATGCATAACTCATTCCCAACAGTAAAAAGCAAAGCAGTTACAGAATCTGGTTCAACACAGACAGGAACATCAGACAATCACTATTTAATATGACCCCACATTACAACTAAATGTCAATTATCCAGTTACTGACATGAAATATATATTACTACGACATTCAGAAAGTGAAACCAACTATATTGAGGTAATGCAAATATTCTGAATGTTGCTGAGCTACTGAATGTTGTTGTTCAAACTATCCTTTGGGATGAACATTTGGCTAACAAGGAGAATCTATAAAGTAACAAGACAGCAATTAAATTCTAAATGTGTCAAGGTTAACTTAAAAATTTTGGCAGTCAGGTATTGCTACCAAGACACTTAATACTGAGCATCTTCTATTCCTTCTACACTGGACTGGAAAATCTTTTCCAGTATAACTGGAAAGAAGACAGAAACATAGTTAACACTCTGAGCAATTGCTGTTAACAAACATTTAAAGAAATATCCAGACACATGGCAAAGCCATTCATAAGATACAGCCCTTTGAACACAAATATTCCAATGTGAAACTGCTTTAGTTTTCAGAATTAACCTAATTTAAGGAAAACCCGCTTTCTGCAGAAGTGCTCCCTTCAGTTCAAAGGACGCCTTTGTAAAGGTCCATGGCCACTTTCTGTGGAAGACTATTCAGCAACAGGAAAAGCAGACTTGGAAACACTACCAATCTTTCTTTGAGAGGAATCAGAGTAAACCAGATTACTTTCCAGACAAACCATCTCCTTGTAACTCATAGCAGTCTGCTGGTAAAGTAGGCTCAGTACAAATATTTTACATCTGCAAAAGAGCATCCCCGATGGCTAAAAAAAAATAATATCCCAAAATAGCTGTTTCTGCCCATACTTGAAGTTATTAAATGCTAGGAAACAAAAAATAAATCACAGAGACCAGGGCAAGGAAAGGACCTACAGAGAGTCTCAAATCCATCTCAGACAGGATGAACTCGGCCTCACACCATGCCTGACAGAGATTTGCCAAAACCATTCCGTGAAAGAAAAATCAAAGACAACCCTCTTGAAACCACAACAGCAGCTTCCTGCAGGAACACAGCTGGAGCCACAGACCTGCTGCTGAAGCTCTGCCAGTTTTTCCTGCTCTTCCTGTTCCCGGCGGATCCTCTCCTCCTCAGCTTGTCTTTGCTGCTCTTCGGAACTCACTCTCTTTTCCTCCTCCTGCTTCCGCAGCTCCTCCTCCCGTCGTGCTTTTTCCTCAGCTGCTCTCCTGGCCATTTCTTCTTCTCTTATTCTACAGTTTCCAAGGTACAGATTATTGGGTATTTATTTCTTTAAAAGTGTGCATACACAAGAGACAGAGTAGGAAACAAAAAAGTTCTAGGCAGCCCAGTCAAAAAATAACTGCATAAAGACATTTTCTGGTGTGGATTTACAAATGCCACCATCCAGACTTGTCAAAGGGAAAAATCAGAATAACTTGGAAGAAACTGTCTGTGAATAAATGCTCTTTGCTGATTAAGTCAAGGCAGGTTGTTACAATAATGGAATGTTTGATTGAGAACTGGATTAAGTAATGACCATTTAGTAAAAATCATTTGCAACTATCACATGAATTAAGTTATAATCACTGTCAAATGTAAATTTAGTGGGATTTCCTAAAAGACTGTTTCTTCTATAGACTGAATTCAGAATACATTGAAATACACATTGACAGCTCTTGCAGACACACAGAACAGATCTGATGACATATTTCTGATAAAATACCTAGAGCAGATTATATGCAAGTTTCTGACAGCTTCATATCCACAACTGGGAAACAGACAAAATCTGATGTTCCACTGTGTTCACAGAAGCAGCTAGGTGACTCCTGATCTGAATAAAGTTAGTCAGCACTAACACAGTCATTTATTTTTAACAACTTCTATGCAGTGAACCAAATGCACACTGATTTAACACTTTGAATTACTTGCCTGCAACATTCCTGATCCATATTTCATATCACTAAAGTGAGATTTAATGTACCATCAAATCAGTGGCTAAGCTGATCAAAGCAAAGTTTAATACAGAGAGGTCGACTCTTTCAAACCAAATACAAACAAACCAAACCCAAGTGGTGCAAAAAGCACATTCTAGTTTTGAAACAAAAGCCCCACTGGTGTCTGGAAGGAAAAATAAGCAGATATTTCATAGGGACTGTGCATTACATATATACTGAGATATAAACTGATGTTACACACAGCAATCTGTCCCAGGTTGGTGCCAGTGCCTCTCAGCTTCAGGACATGTATTAACATTTGCAGGAACTTAAATTAAAACTTAGAAAACATATACACCTGGAGTGTCCCTTCCAACCACACCCCACCACTGAAAGCATCCCTTCCTTCCCCTCAATTGTTACCTTTCTTCTTCTTGTCTCTGAATTCTTTCTTGGTCTTCACGTTCTCTTTGCTCCCGGGCCAGACGTCGCTTCTCGGTCAAGATTTTAGCAGCTTCTTCAGCTGTGGTGGTCCCTGCTACTGTTTTGCTACCTGATTCTGCAAAGGTTAAAAGAATCTGCTGTTAGAAAGCTCCAAAAACTTAAAATTAGGAAAGATGTTATCTCTGTGAGATGAGATCTTATGGCCAACTGATTCACTGTCTTTTCAATCAATGCTCATCACACAGTGACTGCACCCTTATCTAAAGGCCTGCAAGAGCCAAAGGGGAGCCCTGAAGATGCAGAGCCACAATATCTGACACTGAAATAGTAACAGCTCATTTCAACACTGATCCAGCCATATTCCAGATAATACACTTAAAGATACTCTCCAATTATCATAGCATTTAAAAACATGTCTCTGACAAGACACTCTTATTTCTGTAATGCTTGAACACCGAGAAGAAAACTGGAAAAAAAATTGCTTTAGGAAATACCTTTCACTTCCTTCTAATAAAACTGAGCATACAGGACTCTAAAGAAGAAATTATCATTGTTTTATTTTTCTTGTTTCATAACATTAACATTCAAGCCTTTATATTCATAGAGTATGTTGGAGTGCAAATAATCATCATTTTATCTGGCCCTGAAGGCACATACTAATGACTTCAGTAATACCATATTTCTATATATAAGCAACAAATCAATTTCCAATTTACATGGAGATCAAAACAGCTTCAACCACCAGGCGAGTAAATCTTTGCAGGTCCTGCTGTTTATGTTTCTTCATGCCCTGTCTGGTGTTCTGGGGTCTGAACATCAGAGGCACTACTACAAATTAACATCAGGAACATCTTGCCATCCAGCTGCTCTCAATATATATATATTGAAAGAACTCTGTTCTATCAGTTATTCCCAATCCCTAGATATATTTCTGTTTGAATGTGATTTAAGAACTCATCATCTGAATATTCAGAGAATTAGCTCTTGATGTCAGTAGAGCAGCAGCATCACAATGTTGGTGAGGAGTTGCCTTTCTCCTGAACATTTCACAAACTAGCACATACATGTTTGCTTAACATCTATAAAGCCTTGAAGTTAAGGTAATTTTAATGAACTACAACACCAGGGTTTGACCACGTGTACTTCTGACCTGAAGACAAATCATTCAAAACACAATGTCATCATTAGGAACTTTAATACCTGAAAAGCTGCTGAGGCCCCATGGACACATAATCACTACCTGCAGCTGCAGGGTATAATTACACATAGCAAACTCCCAGCAGCTGAATCATGGCTGTCTTTTGCATAAAAAAATGTTCTTGCAGTCCTAGGAAAAGCATTTCAGCACTGATGTAATGCAGGCATAGACAGTGTTCTAACATTTTAATTTATCCAAAGCTGAGAAAACACCCCCTCCCCAGACAACACATTGCTTCTGATGTGGGAAAAAGTTGCATTCATGTTGGTACTAACAAAAATCAGCCATGACTGTTCCAAATTTGAACTCTGTCAAAAGGGGTCCTCCTCCTTCTGAGCAAGAAAGACCATTCTGCATTTATAAAAACATCTAGCAGATCTGCCTGTTCAAGACAGGCAGATGCTTTTCTTCCTATATCCTGTAACTTACTAGGTTTCATTTACTGCTGCCAGTGTACAGCCATGAAGAAATCAAAGTCTCTCTTCCTCTGCTATATGAGTGTACTTTCTGTTCAGACTACTCACTTTTTACAGCAGAGGCCATGTTTTATTGCATGTTTGCAATCTCTCCCAGTTGTATCAAATCTGGTTGACATTTAATGTCAGGTTTAACCTATTTCTCCTCCTCAAAACTGAACCTAAATAATACAAGCTAATGCTCAGCAAGAAGCCTACAGGTTTTAGACTTAAGTCCTAGGGTTACAACATGATAATGACAGCTCAAATACAGCACGTGGTATTGACAGGAGAAAATTAGTCACAACAGTTCAGAACACTGCAGATATGGAAAGAACAGGGGATAAAAAAAGAAGAAAGTGTTGGGGATCTTCCCACTGCATTTTCACTTCTGCAGTTTTATTGATTATTTCCATATGGTACTTCAATACTGTTTTCATCTCCATGTACCCCTGTACAGCCTTTTTCCATAGGGCAGGACATGAGACTCCCCAACACGATTGCTAACACACCTTAAGAAAATTCTGACAGTCTTTTACACTCAGTTTCCTTTTCCTTACACTCCTAGTCATTACTGGTAAGAACAGTCTTTTTATCAAAGGATCTTTTTGTAAGGGAAGGGGAAAGAGAGAAAGAGGCAAGAGAAACAATCTCTGAACATGTGCAAAATGTAGGACTAGTTGGATGGAGGGAAGATTCCAACAGATTTCAAGGTAAGCAATTAATTCACAATTAATCTAGGAATCATATTTCAAAGTCTTCAATACCCAGATACAAAATGTGAGGCTCCATGATAGTTTATTACCTATCATCATGCATAAGGTGAGAGCTCATGAAGGAGCACTTCTTATGCTTTAAGTTGAACAAGCCTTTTAATTCTCAGAGAAGCTGCGAGAGGCTGCTGCCAGAAATGACAACTGCTCCAGTCACTGAAAAATAAAAAGTGTTTTACTGCAGAACAGTATATTGCAGTAGGAAGACACAAAAAACAAGACAAAAACTTGATTGCTGTCAGCAACAGGCAAACAAGTTCAGTTTGAAGAAGAGATGGGATGAAGATACAAGTGCATAAAGCTGAACTTAGGCTAAACCTACAAGATCTAGAGACTGGTTTGCCACATGCCATTCACTGGTGTGCTCTGACTTCAGAAGCTGTCTAGGACAGGGAACTGCATCAACCCATGGGGTGAACTGCTGACACAGATGTGAAAAATTAAAATTGCCTTGAAAACTGAAAGCAACTTCTTAAGAAAAAAGATTTTGCCTCACATAGCAATACTGCAGTGTACCAAAACATTCAAAGAGAAAAATTAAATAATCTCTTATTCTGAAGAACATGTCCACTATTTCCTTCTGTTCTGTTCTGTTCTGTGTCAAAGAAAAAGAGCGCTCAGCCTCAGTAGGAATCACTACAAACACGACTCTTTTGAGATTAGAAATAAACTAAAAGGGAAACAGAAACTGGGTTAATACAGTTTCAGAAGTCAGTATAGAGAGGAGACAGATCAGGCATCCAAGGAACAAAGACAGATGTTCCTGTTCCAGAACAACTGGAAGATACAGGATTAGGACACATTGTTATGGAGGCTTCAACTAACTGATGACATTGATCAGAAGTGATGATACTCTGAGGCACACAAGACATTTATCAACAGTATGGCAGCACATCAAGGGATGGACATTCTGACTGCAAAGACAAAGGACGTGACACCAAAGACGGATGTGCGACTTCGTACAAACATCCACTTCTGCCAGCCAGGCTTCCTTCCACAGGAACACATGCCCAGAGAGCTCTACCACGAGTTCTTCAGCTGAATGACACTTCTTCACATCCAACAGAAGCAGCACCAGGAGGAGCCTCAGAAGCGGCAGGGAACAGGAGCAGCCCAGGAAAGCACATAGGAACTGCACATGCAGTCACGTGCAGCAAGCACATGTTCCCACTTACCTGGTGTCTGAGGGATTCACCCCCAGTTCAGTCTACTGGCTGTATCTTACATTCTAAAGATCCCTCCTTTTCCTGTCAAGGGTCCCCCAAGTCCTTCTGGACAGTGACATGCCTGCCAGACCTCATGAGCAGACTCTCCCAGATTCTGCAGGAGATGGCACCTGGCATTTTTCCCAGCGAGGGCCAGAGGTTGGGCTCAAGTGGCACAATGAAGAGGACTAGAACACTAATTGCTTATCTGGTATATGGCTCTCCTTAATCTACCAGGATAATTTCTCAGTGTGACTTGTGAACTGATCACTCTTCCCAAGGCAGCAATGATTACACATTCACTGGAACTTAGGCCAAGGCAAGACTTCAAGCACTGTGAAAACTCTCAGCCTGTGATGAACAGGAGCTGACTTTGTCCTCCAAGAAGGTCTCTACAGGAGCATTTTAAGAACTACCAACTGAACTGAAAGACCTTTGTGTAGTTTAACTACTGACTTTATAAACCTAAGCTCGAAGATCCCTCAGCTAGAGCAGCTGAAGCCCAAAAGACAAAGAGGATTTCTGCTTTTCTTAAAATTACAGTACAAATAGTAATACTGAAAGCTCCTGACTTAAATCTCCAAGTCAAATAAACGAACTACTGCATTAAAATTCACATCCCAAAGTCATACCATGTAAAATTATTATATAGTCAGCAATGAACAGCTTCTGCCTTAAAGCATCCCACCCTCCAGTGCTCTGCCTCACAAGCCAGTTGTTTCCCCAGTCCCAGCAGGCACTGGAGAGGCCTCGAGCAGGAGTGAGTCAGACACTGAGAAACACCCACCTTCTTTGGTCTTTGTGCTAGCTGCTCCTGCATCCCTCTCCAAGGCTGGGGAAGCACCTTGTTCTTGTCCTATTCCTTCTGTGCTCTTATCCTTTGGTTTGCTCTCTGCTTCAGTTTTCTTTTTGGTAATGTTTATAACACCTGGTGTGAGAGATGGACGCTGGATGGGTGCTGATTTAGAGACTGGAGTAGGAGATGGTGGCCTTTGTTTTGACACACCAGGTGAAGGTGGGCGAGTCTTCTGTCTGTTGAAATAAAGAACATTTTCCAGAGCTAACAATGAAAACCTCAACCACACACCTTTGTCTCTTTTATTTAGTTTATATTCCATACCTTACTTTTAAAAATAAATCCACCCACAAATTACTGGTGCCTTCCCCAAAAAAAACCTCAAACCACGATTCCAAGACACTCTGGGCACCCAGTCTTGCTACTTGGGGGCTAACATCAAAACAGGACTGCTAGTCCAGATCTCCATTTACTCCACACCTAGGATGAACCTCATGATTCCAATCCAAGAAACTTTCTATGATAATACACGTGGATCCGTTTGTTCAAAAGCTTGCAGGCTTTTGTTGGTTTTAGTGCAGAGAGTGCACAGAAAATTAGGGTGTGTTTTGTCCACACAGCAAAGATTGAAGTAAAAGCTTCATCCCTACTATGGGAAAGGGAAATTGGACCCCAAATTAAGTCTTTTCTGTACAAACGAGGCACAGCATAGGTCACCCATACTCTAACAGCTCATCTGTCTTGAGACAGGAAGAAGCTTTCATTTTGAATAAAAATAAAAGGTGTTTACACATACCTGAGTGCAGAAGGGGTTTAACCTGGGCATGTTTAATCTGGACATATACCTGAGTGCAGATGTTTAACCTGGGCACGTACCTGACTGCAGAAGGGGACGGAGGACGCTTCACCAAATTAGCTGGAGAGGGGGATCTTCTACGGGCAGACATGGATGGTGAGGGAGGACGCCTCAGACCAGAACCTGGGGATGGTTTTTCTGTCTCTGATTTCTAGAAGATACACAAAAACAAATTAATGACTCTCTAAAATACGTTGCAGACAGAGGAGCTGCTATTCCAACAAACAAGCAAGTGTTCATTAAGATACACTTTGAATTTCTTTAATGTTCCAAAACACAGACCTGGTCTATGTTTAATTGTTACATAAATTAAACTTTGGGAACCATAAGCAGCAAACAATATGCCTTCTAGATACAAGAGAGATCAAGTACCATAAAATTCCAATTTGATTTTAATACTCTGTATTTTTTAGGCAAATGCTGTTGTACATTTCATTAATGCTTACTGAAAGCAACAGCAAACAGGTAAAACAGGATCCCATCCTGAGCTGTTCCAACCCCCCAGATTAACAGAAACTTAATTCCTGTGGGTTTTCAACAAACCTGGGTTGAATCAGGTGAACTTGCATCAGATGAAGACACAGAGGACTTCAACCTGTCGATGCTACGGCTGCGCACCGGCACTTTAGGAGCTGGGACTGGGGAACTGATGGAACTGGCTGAAGCTGAACGAGGACAGAGGTGAGATTCTATAAAAGTTAGGAATTTGACAAGACAAAACAAGAACCAAGTGCACAGCATAAGAATAGGAGAGAAGGAAGAGGGAGAAAAAGAGAAAGAGAGATTGTGTGTGTTAGAAACCATACAGGGAAACACCGCAGGCAGTGCACAACGGGGCAGGGACAGACACCACCACACAATTAGTACCTGGGAAGCAACAGCACCAAGAATAAACACTCTGAAAGCAGCAGTCTGGAGTAGATAAAAATAAAATGCTTTTCCAAAAATGGGCCAAATTTGCAGTACACCAGCGTTACTTTAGGTTTAGTCAAGTTGCATTTGATCACAAATGCTTCAGTGTTAATGGCTTAGCATCTTTCCTGACAATTTCTTCATGACAGCTTCAGAATTTAAGCTTGTTTCCTCTATACTCAACAAGGAGGAAACCATTTAACTATGATACCTTTCCTATCTGAAGTGTCAATCTCTTCACATGTAAGATCTTGAAAGAAATGTTATCTTATTGCTTTTTTACTAACATGATCACAGACTTATTGATAAGCACACATAAATGCAAAAATATTCCAAACTAGATATTGGATTCTTCTATAATTCAAATAAATTGTGACAAATGCAGCACTTAGTTTTGTAACTTTATGGAAAATACATTTTATTTTTGCATTTGCAGCATTTGTGCAAGGAGACCTGCATTCTGTTTGTGCACAGGTTGTGTTAAAGCACAGGTACTTTTCTACGGAAATGAAAAAAGTACCTCTAAGTAAACTTTAAAAAATGTATCTTTAATTCAGCAATAGTGAGTGTCACATGCTAACAGTAACAGAAAAAGAAGGCATTTCCCCACATGACATGAACAGAAGTATTCATGGTAAAATAAAAGCAGCACATACACAGGTATGTAAAAATATGACTATTGACTACAAACCAAAATATAAAAACTTATTATGAGACAAGGCGAACAGTGTGGAAATTTCACTGTTACTGACAAGGACCAAGTAAAATGGTGCAAGATAAAAAATAAAGCTGGGATTTCATACTTAAGAAGAAATAAGCAAAACTTGGAACACAAGTTGTAAGGTAAAAGAAGAGAAAGGACTGGTTCCAGAGATGCATTTACTGGGGTATTATTAATTAACCAGTAACAATTCCAGGACATGTGGGATGCAGCTAGGGGGGCTTGCCCATGATGTAGATTCCTGCTCTAGTAAAATGAGCCCTGGTGTGGACATACCAGGTCAGTCTGGACCAACACAAAAATGCTTGAGTCAGCCAGGGTTTCTCTCTTGTATGACACCTTGACTTCTATCAGCTGAATGAAGCCAGCTCAGGGTTCCCTGTACTTACCTTAAGGTAACCCCATTGTCATGTTCCTGCAAGAGTTTCTTCCCGTAAAGAAATTTAGGTTTTTCGCACTTTGAAATTACAGGTTTGTTTGTTTTTTTTTTTCCTTTCATTACCTAGTACTGCACTAACCAGAATGTCTCAGATTGACAAATTCAGATTTCTATCAGTTAAAAAACCACACACAAAAGCCCCAGAATGAACACCAGCATCTGGTTCTCTGCAGAACAAGTAAACCAGCACTGGAGTTTAAAAGCCAGTATTATTCTGTTTTGTAAAGTAAACATGCAACATAGCATATGAGTTGGGTATTAATGACCACAGAAAATACTGGGTAAGTGATATTACACACAACCGTGTATTAACTGTCTGATTCAGACCAAAGTGCAGCACAGTTAGCAAGCTATCATCTAAGTCCTTGCTTTTAGAGCAATTGTGTAATTCTTTGAGGCTTTTCTGCCCTCCTGTTACCTGAGGGGTCCTGTCCATCAGCCGACAAGGTAGCAGCACTTTTACTCCTAGCTAGAGAGGCCTGTGTGGGGGCCAGGAGGCGGCTGATTACGCTACTGTCCAGGGGACTGAGCTGGGAGCGACGAGCTGGATGACAGGGACAAACCAAAAAAGGATCCAACATCAAATCAGATCATGGAAAAGACAAGCAGTACAAAGCAAAGGAAGACTGAGCATTGATGCAAATCATAACGGTTTTGGAAGAACAATAGTTGAAGTCATGGAGGGGGAATTCCAAACTATAAGCGCAGAAGGGTTAAACACTGCAATCCCTTATGTTGCACTTCTTGTTCTTGCCTTGCTTAGAACAAGTCATTTTAATGTGCAGAGACTGGCACATGTATAACAGAGGTGAATGCTGAATCCAGTCAAAGCATGAGATGTTTTTGACTGAGCACTTCAGAGCTACATTCTCTAGACTGCAGGAAAGGCTGTTTTGACATAATAAACAGAAGACTTGCAAGTCAAAGCAAGCAGTTATGGTCAAGCATTGCCTGCACACACAGATTCACATGGACAGCACCCATCATTCTCTCATACGGGAAAGATTCTGAAGCAGAAATAATTTCAACTGTTGGCAACAGCTGCTGAAATGGAAAGTTTCAGAACTGTTAACTCAAGAGGGAAAAACCGTGTTAGACAAGGTGCTATTCTTCAGGTTTAGGAGGAGCTCCTAGGAAAGAGGTTATTTGTAACCTAGTGGGGAATACACAGACCAAAAGAGACTGAAGTGAGAACAGGTTTCTTCCTTCTGCATGCACATGGCTTACACCAGCAGTAGGAACAGAGAAGTTGCTTTTAAACTGAATAATGAAAGGGAACTTAAAAAAGCAAAGGTAAGATTTAACTAAGAAGTGAACAGATCAGTGACATTTTTACCATTTCTGACCCTTAAACCAACCAGCTCTCAAACAGATTGCTTTCTTAAGCAGAGACACATGTTGCTATCTGCATGCAGTGCCATTTAACAAAGGCCTTCTTAAAGGATTTCTTTTTTTTGCAATTAATTTTTAACACTGGGTAACCAACAAGCCATTAAAAAGTCCTAGAAATTTAAGAACCTAGGAAAGTAGTGAAATCAAGCCTATCCAAACTTTAAAGCCTTTAAAAAAATACTCAGTTTTATGAAACAACCACCTGGTTTTTCTTCCTTTTTCACTTTTTCTATCTCTGGAGAGGATTGGGGTTTACTACTCATTCTACTCAAAGATGTGCTCCTCTTCTTTTCTGTTCCTCCTAGAGACCAAGCGTAAGGAAAATTATTTTTAACAAGACATGATGTTCTAAATTGCCATCCCATGCTTTGCTTTTACTAATCAACTAAAACCATCCATGTATCATTATGAAGTACTATTTTCTCATGAGTGAAATGGTCTGGCTACCATTTGTCTACCTTCCCCCCACCCTTCCACTTTTCAGAGGAATAAGGCTGGTTTAGAGACAGTTACCCAACATTTGGCACTGCAATGTGCATAATGACATTTAGTGCACAGACTTCATGAATGTCTGAGTGAAAACATTTATAATGGAACTGGGACATGGTTTAAAGTCATCTTCAAATATCCCATTTACTGCCTCCCAATTCTCAAAACAAACTCGTTTCTAGCACCTTTCTGTTCCACCTGCGAACCTTTGGGTGCTGACTGCTGGGAATGTGGAGGGACTTTGTTATTCAGTCTGTTTAATGAGGCACTTCTCTTTGTGGTACCTGGAAGTGAAAGTGCATGGATTAATTATGCTGAAAAGCTCAGAGGTCCCCTCCAACACCTGCCCCATTTCCCTAAGAGAGGGAGAGAGGAATGATTAAGTTGCTTTATAATATTGAATTCTCAGAAGCAGAAAAACTGGATCAGGGAAGAACTGCTTTATATAAAGCATTGTTTCTTTTATATCTGCATGTTTCTGATCACAGCAGCAGATGCCAGCCAGAATAGATTCTTGTTTGACCTACTGAGGCCATTCTCATACACCTTTTAAAATACATGAGAATTTTATGAGACAATTGCTCACATTCTCTACGAGTATGAATGAGCCTAGAATCAACACAGAACACAGGGTTAAGTGGAGATACTCCACTGATCCAGGACAAGCATCATTTTCTTCATTTTCTCATTTCCACATTCTGCTCCTTCACCCTCCCAGGCACACATGCAGAACAGAAGCAATCTGGTTGATTCTGTGACTGTATTTAACGTCCTGTGAATTTAGCCATCATTTTACCAAACCACCAGTTCTCCCTGAGTGTCAGATTGAGGGCACAGGATAACTCTAAGTCAACCTCTACATCCTGACTATGTATATCACTTGGAGTCCTGACCAAATTTCTTGTGTTTCAGGTCACCTGAGAATACCTCCTCAGAAGCGACTACGGATTCACAAAGGATTTCAGGGTATGACAATAAGTTTGAAAGCAATCCCAATTAGTTGATAATTAGTGACTTCCTTTGTAAGAGGTTTAATTTGTACTTTACAGCCCTGCTTCTGACTCATATCCAGAGCTGAACCCTGCAGACACATAATATACAAATATAATTTAAAATCACAAGCAGCCTTCAGTGACTCAGAGCCCCTGCCAGTATAAATATAGTCACTGATTTCCCCATCAGGCACACAGTGCATGAGCACAAATTTTTCTGCTGCATCACCTTCCAACACAAACCAGCAAAATCACCTTTAGCTGTGTCTGTGTCAGGGATTCTTTTAGCTCAGTTTGCTTGATCAGAGGCTGCAGACTGGCAGAACACTGCAGCACAGACCTAGCTGAATCTGCTTTTGTATTAAACAGCTTTTAGCTTATTCATCATTTTAGGCAAAGAAAAAACAAAAGCAAAAACCTCCAATTTTCTGACACAGGCAGGTTCCCATGAAACTCTAGGAAAATTCCAAATAACAAAATGTCATGCTAAAACAAGCCAAAATATGCGCTCCTACAAATAGTTTTTATTTATCTTAACAAGTATATTAGGACAATTTCTGGTCAAAATTGATTTTTTTCCTTCCCATTGGCAATCAAATGACTGAAGCTGTCCAGCAGAACAAGGCAAACTTAATTTTCAAACTATTTCTATTTTGCTGAAATTTTAGGGTGTGAATTAAGGCATGCAAATCCAGAGATGATGGGAAATTATCTGTGAATCATTCACTGAGATTTGACTTTAGTAACATAATTACAGAAATAAAAAATAAAAAACCAGCAGTTTTTACCATTGCTCTTCTCCTCTAACAGAGATCACATCAACTGGGTCAAAGCCCTGAGCAGTCAAGCTGGATTAACAAATTGCATGAAATGCATCTGAGATCAAAATACGAAGTGAGTCACAAAGCAGGGGAGGAGGAAGGAGTTTCATTCCACCTCCTTTCTCCTCCCCAGCCCCAGCTGAGCAGTGCCCTGCTCCCAGCAGCCACACACCCACACTTACTTCGATCTGAGGCATTTGAAAGAGCTCCAGAGGACGCCAGCCCTTTGCTCACGGCAGCCTCTGCCTGTCTCAGGCTGGCTGTGGAGGGCGAGCGTTTGCTGGCTGTGGAGAGAAGTGAGAACTTTAGAACTCGCCTTCCTACTGAGCCTTTCACACCTTGCTGAGAGCTCACTCTCCAAGTATTACATCCTGAAAGCGACTTCCTTTTGTTTGATGACAAACACAAATGATTTTGTTTTCCTTACAACAGGCTTGATACCATTAGCACCAGTTGGGACAGGCACAGAAAAGGTAGAGCTTAGTGGAGTCATGCCAGGATTTATGCATATGTGTGCAAACAAGAGATTTTTAAACCCCCTGTCCCTAACATGGTAAAGACAAAAGCTACTGAGGTTGCCTCTTGTTACCAGACTGGCAAGACACAGAAAATGACAACAAAATCTGGAAAATTTCTTTCTTCATTCCTGCCACATAGGTATGGTCAAAACAGTTTTTAAATCACTAGTTAATAAATCCAAACAAAACAAATTATTTTGGAAGAATAAAACCAAGTCCCAAGGAAAGGCAAGAAAGCATTCCTATTTCTGATTGCTTCATGAAGGTTGCTGTATTTCAGAAATTGCCAATTTTTCTCTAAAAGCTACTCTTAAGTTAATGTTTCCTATCAAATCTGCAATTTTTCAGAAAAAAACTGCCACAAGAGGCATTAAATTTTTTTTTTTTTGGTATGTGTATACACACACATATACACACACAAAAATCCCATCTTAAGTGGCAGAACTCCAAGGCAGACAAATACCTGCTTTTTAATTTCAAATCATCTACTTTCAGGATGAATACTACTCCAGAGTGTGAAAGCCTTGGAAAAGCAAGTACCTGTTGCTATAGAAACTCAGTAAGCAGAAAACATCAATATACACAGAGTGGTACAGACCAGCACAACAAACACACGAAATTCTATACATCTAATACAACTAATCAATTTTACTGACATGCTGGACAGCAAAGATGATTAATCTGAGCTCATTAGTGCATAAGTACCAAAGGACACAGCAGCACTACTCACCACAGAGGCAACATCTTTTCCCTTTGCCAGCAGGCTACAACAGCCCCTTACAGCCAGAGCCAGGACAGAAAGATTCCTATGGACAGCCCTAGGAGAAGCTCTTGTGACAGTGAACAAGAGCAAAGTCCCCATGGGATAAGAGGGAGATCTACTGAATCTAGTTCAGAAATTAAGATCTGAGCTTAGTGGATGCTTTCCCAACATAACAAAAAGAAGTAAAAAAACCAAAGAGGTACTTTATGAATGGAGTCTGAGAACTGGGATAACTAAACAGCCTTAAGAGGTTTTATATACGAAAATCAGGAAGCTCATAATTCATGTGCTCGGGTGCTTTTGAAGGGGAAGGCTACCCTCTAGTGTCTGCTCTTCAAAGGAAATCCTGGCTCCTGCCTGAACTCAACTGAGTCCAAGGCCTCCAAATATCACAGAGACACTTCACACAAATTTCTCTTGGTTCAATTTAGCACTTCAGCACTCGCATGAAATCTGAGATTTGGTCTATCACTTACTGGGATCCAGGTACAGAGGTCAATTCTTTTTCTATCAATACATTTGCCTGATCAGACGGCCTCAACTTTTTCCCTACCTCATTCACAGAACAGCTTCTGCAAACTTTAAAGCTCCTTTCTCTAGGAAAAAAAGCTTTAGAAGACAGGCAGGATATTCCTGCACAACCAGTCAGTCTGGTTATGTAGCTATTTACAAAACAGAATTTTAAAAAGTACCTCTAATATCTTCTTTGAGGGAAAGTTAGAAAACCTCCATCAAGGGGCTTGAACTGCAAGAAGCACACAGTCCATGTGACACCAATTTCTCTAATTTCACCAATGGCAGGGGGAAAGCAAACTCCAGCAGCAAAAGTGAAGAAAGCACGTCTGCCATGCAGCAGGACTTGGAACTGAGCAAAGAGCTGGGAAATATGGGATCTTAAGAAAATCACTCAGAGTGAGGAGCTTTCAATCCTCACAAGGTTTCACTGAGAGAGGGTGCTGCAGCATTGCCTGAGGCTACGAAACATTTGGCTACAGGAAATAAGATTAGCTGTCTCTCACTTCCTTCCAAATTTCTACTAGGACAAGGAAGCTCTTTATTTAGCAAGGAGAGACTCTGGCAGCCCCATTTCTATTCTAATAGCACATCTCCAGTCCTGATGCACCTGAACCTCTAGTTCTGCTCAGCAGGCACCACTAAAACACTCCCTTTACCAGGACTGTCATCAAGGATGCTTTATTGCACAGCCTGGCCATTTCTCTTGGCAGACCCACACCCTGCCTGCTTCGTCTTAGCACTGACAGCAATGCCATTAATGTAACACTTGACTCTGGGGCTTTCAACCGTTTTTACATTTCACCATCAGCAGGATCCCTGCTGTGGTCTCATGAATCACACTCAACATCCCACAGAACCACTGATGACTGGGGAAATGTTCCATTACATGGGCTTCACTTTTCAGAGCACACTATCACCCAAAACCTCTGCTCTGCCACTCAACGATCTTAAACATTACTCTTGACACACCCAGTTCATGGAAGACATATTTGATTCTGGTTTTTTTTTTTTTTTTTTGCACAGCACTTCAGTAGACAAGAATGCCTTTTGTCCTAAAATAATTAAAGAATATTTGAAATCAGTTATCCAAATGGTTCTCATTTTAAGAAATGGGGATTTAATCCCGAATCTGCCACAGAATTTGACAGTAGAAATATAATATTGCATTGAAATTTGCTCCAGACATGCTGTTAGAGAAAGTGCACTATTCAGCCACAATGATGTAATGGAGTAGAGCTCATATGGTGTCATTTTTCAGAGTAAAAAAAAAAAAAAGGTAATTGTTGTCTTTCCAGAAAATATGCAAACATAAAGCAAAACGGACCATATAAGGATTTTTTAGAAAGCCAGCTGGACTTAAGCATCCCACATGGCTTAGGTAGATTTTTAATAATAATTAAATGAGCTCTCAAAGTTAAAAAGAACTACCCTGAAATAGGAATGAACGTGAGAAATATACAACCACTTATGGTTCCACATTATCCACCCCACACATCATAGCTTCATGTTTGAAACATTAACATAAAATCAAACACGATTTTAAAACAATGTGGATGCACAAGGGTTTGACCAGGACATTGCATTACTTGTTTATCTCCTCAGCAATTTTTTTTTCCAGATTGGTGCCAAGTTATCCAAATTGATCTATTGCTACTGAACTACCTGCACAGATACTTTATGATGCATAAATCACAGTTTAAGCACCCATCATTATACCAGGAGCATTTGCGTTGGTATTTTATCTTAAATGTGCTTCAGCAGCACTGAAGATCTTCCTCCACAATGGGAAGGACAGACAAGGCTCATTTCCTGACATAAATCAGGAGAGAGCAAAGAACATCATTTTGTGTTTGTTAGTAGAATAAAACCCAGTGGTTTTTTAAACATGTAAGGCAAATGTGACTTCCCAGTTTCAAGGTTAAATACTTGGTAGTGTGAGATACAGTAAATGGATTTACATATGTACCCAAGGAACACATGTAAAGCAGATAAACCAACCCAGCCAAACTGGCTGATTTTGGAGAAAATTACAGGCTCAAGATGTGGGCAAGGAAAGAAAAAAGTTAACTAAAATACACATAAAATACTCTGTGTTGCCAGAGTAGTTAAATCATACTCAGTCAGACCTTCACTGCATTTTCAAGTCTCACTTGTCTGTGTCACAGACAGCTGCACTGCATTAGTAACATACACAGACCGTCAGGATTCAGATTCAGCTGGGTCTCAGCTGAGAGTTTTCATCTCAATCTAGCTACAAGAAATAATTCTGCTTATTAAACATATGTATCAGTGATCCAAAGCATTTCTATGAATGGCTCAGTCTGTGCACTGGAAAGTCCAGAAATCCAATGAAAACACATTTTATGTAGAAAGTTATCTTTACATAATTGGGACATCTCTGATTTTGCAAAACCTTTCATGGAAAAAGTATCGAACTGCTCAAGTAACCCATTCCCTCTCACAAAGTTTCACCAAAATATAATTTGATTTTGCAAATGTTACTTCAACTGCCGGTAAACCAAAGCAAGAAGGAAACAAACCCTGCCCTACCATGCACTTTTTGCAAATTAGGAAGCAATGAAACAGTCTGAGATTGCCCTTAAGTCCTCCAAATCTTAGACCACTGAACTAAGCCATATTCAAATACTTGCCAGTAGGAATTTCTCTTCTCTCTGTGCTGTATCCAGACCTCTTTAAAAACCTAAATGCACATAGCTTTTCCCTGAAAATTCCCTCAGGATACCATGACTTAAGCTGTAGTTGAATTAGCTGGGAGGGATAGCCAAAATGAGTGGGGCTGCTTTCTACTTAGGGATCACATTTGTTGCACAGCTGGCTAAGATCCAGGAAAAGATCTATAAGATGGTTTTCCTTAGTGTGAGAAGAATTCGAGTTTAAAAGGTTAGTAGTGAGACAGAAAAAGAAAATTTTACATATCAATACCACCAGTTCCACCTTCATCTGTGCTCTGTTGTTCTGTAGAAGAAGAAGGTTTGTAAGCTAAGTCACAAAGTCAAATAGCAAAAACATGCAAGTTAACTAAAAAATGGAGATGCTACATATAATAATGACAACTAATACCAGAGCACTTTCAAACATGTTACAAACATACACTCGAGCTGACAGAAAATGACAGTACCACACTCTATACAATTCCACCAATACAGAAAACAGGCTGAACTGAAGCATTTTTTAAAATTTATTTTATTCCTGGCCAATAACTTATGTTATTTATTGGTGGTTAGGTAGTGCATGAAAAGATCTCTTCCACTGCAATCTTTATTTGCTGGTCTGATTTCAGAATGTTTACAAGCAGAAACAGTTCATTGTGAAACAGGAAATTATCTGACATCAAATTCAAGACTGTTAAAATACAGCACCTAACCCAGAACAGAATCCATGCTCCAAGAAGCTTGGAGTGTCCACTGCATCTATTTACCCATTACTGGTATTCACATTATCAGTCAGCATTCCTTAACTCCAAGGGTGTATTTAAAACATTTTAGATGTGATATTAGAGTACAACTGGGTATTTTTGGTTTTATCACCAGTGTTAGCACTCCACTGCATGAACTGCATTTGAAGGACTCTGAATTATCTTATTATTACAAATCATAATTCCCCTTTATCTGATGTTTGAGGAGTGGCAGTGCTGTCATGTGTTGTATTTCCCATGGAGCTTCTCTCCAGCTCTTCCCAAGGTCAAAAATAGCTCTAAGTCTCAGCAGCATTTCAGGCCAAGTACAGATATGACACTTTCCCATGAGCTACCCACAGATCCTGCTTTAAGATCCAAGATAGGAAAGGATGCCCAGGTCCCTATGAATAGTGCTGCATCTGCCAGTGTTCACACAGAATATTCTGTGATTTTAGTCCTACTAAAACCAGTGCTGCTTACCTGTTTTGCCTTCTGAGTCTGGAGTTACAGAGCCCCCCCATGACCATCTCTTCTGTCGAGTTTCCAGCCGCTGACTCCGCTCCAAGGTGCGATGCAGAACGGCTTCATAGCGCTCCTACCAAACAACATCTCCATGAAGCTTTCACTGTTAACCACAGCCACACCAGGAAATAAAATGCAGACCCCTCCCCAGAATGATTTATAATGTTTTACCAGGCTTTTGTTGCAAAAATTATCATGCAAAGAATGTTGAAGGCAATTAATGGCTTCAAAACACTGCAAACATGATTAGGTTGAGCTAAAGCACAGATAATCTATTCTACTCTTTACTTAAAATAGCCACCAAACAGATTTCCTATTCAGTAAACAGCACTACTTATTTTCTAAATAGGGATGAACCCCAAACTGCGCAAAAGGAATTGGTTACCCTTGAAACCATTTACATGATGAAGTTATTTCTAAAAGGTGATAAAATTTCTCCATTATAAAATCCCAAATATAACGTTATTTGTACTCTCAAAGAACTATAAAAACAATGACCCAGGTCTTAACAGACATTGACATTACGAGAGATGTGATGAAACCAGGAACAGCAAGACATAAATGCAAAACTGCAAAGGAAGACCAATCAACTTCAGGCCTCAGCAACCACTGCTGACAGGACAAAGGGGGCTGAAAGAAGCTTTTGCTGCTGTGTCCAGAACTAATAACTGCCAGCAGGGGAGATTTAGCTCCTGTGCATAAAGATGAACCATAACCATGCTAGACTCTTTCTTGCCAGCCAGGTTTCCACACGTGTCAACAACACATTTCTCTTCTGGAATAGTTAGATCCCAAGTGATCTTTCGAAGCAGTATTTGCTGCAGATACACTGCAGTAAGATGTCAAGGGAACTCATTATACAGCCATTTCTCCTGCTTAGGGACACAAGACTTTCACCTCCTTTCAACACCATTTCACAACATAAACTAAAAAAGTCGCTGTGGAAAACACACAACGTAAAGCTTGAAGGAAGGGAGGATTCTGCTCACTGACAAAACATAGAAGGAAAAGTTTTTGTTTGAAGTATAAAGCTTAGCTTCCCCTCTGTTAGAGAAACCTGAACTAGAGTTTACCTAAGGTGCCAAAGTACCCAGACATTATGTAATCTGTAGATTGTATTTCCATGGAAGTATCTGCAGTGCAGTAATTCTTCAGTCAGAGTTAAAGACATAGGCTTCACTTTACAAGTGACAGAAATGAGTTCAAGGTCTCAACACAGTGAGCTGCAGAGATGTGCAGAATAACAGGAGCTGTGGGGAGATGACTATCTGAATCCTCACCATGGCTACGGGTCTTCAAGATTCTTAGAACCACTTCCTTTCTCAGAGCATTTGCTACTGTGCTGCTGCTTCTGCCTTATTAGATGATTAACTAAATGAGAATTAACTAAGTTAATACTAATGTTGAGGACTATGTATTTTGATGGACTTCTATCTACCAAATTTACAACTGTATATGGTATCTTGCTGGTATCTTTTCCTCATATCAGAGTACCAAAGTCAAGATGTGTTTTCACTTTCTGACTGAAGGCAAGGCTTTACAGGTCAAATCCATGCTGTCCTCCCACCCTCCAGATTCTGCATGTGTAAATCTCCATGCAGGTCATCTCCAGGGACTGAGTAAAAGACAAGGTTAAGACCTCATTATTAGTCCTTGTCTTCCTTGATTATTCACTCTGGTGGCCACTTAGAAACTACTCAAAACTACAAGAATAAATGTAATAAATGTAAATGTAACATCTTTTTGAAGCATAAGGGATGTTTCTTGCATAAGGTAGTTGCTTAAAGAAACGACGCTGCACTGGACTGCAGTCACAGCCCACACAAACATTTCTGTTCTCCAGCAATTTAAACTATTCCATGAAGTTCAAATGGAATATCAATCTGATCACACCCAAGAGCTGATTACAGAAAACCAAACACCAGTGTAGAATACTGCCAGTGAAAAAGGGCAGCAAAGATGGATTGCTAGAACAGTATAACAACACTGGACTCCAAAGGAGCAGCCAGCCAGGCTAACAAGCTCTTCACCAATGACTCACAGCAAGTTCCTACAACCAGCTTATGAAAGCAGAGATGTGTGATGCTTCCACTGCTGACACCCTGGAAATGAACCCTTTCAGAACTTGCACAATTAATATGCATTAACAGAGCTACTTGCCAAAAGCATGGAATAACTTCATGTATTTATCTCTGCTATCAACTTCTAACCATTTGCAGTGAGTCCCAAACTCAAACACTGCTCTGTCTGCCCATGTGCAATCAGAGCAAAGGCCAGTGAGAACAGTCACTACACAGTTCAAAGCAGCAAATGACAACTATGCAGATAACACCACCTTTCATCATACAGAAATGAATTCTGATTTAGAAGAATTAAGGGAATGTGGGTCAGGCCACAGCAGGGCTCCAAGGAAGGAAGACACAGAAATAAGAGAAGTAATCTAAGACTCGTCACCCATGCTGATTTACAGAAAAACTCTGTTACAAAGTGCTCTGAAGGCATCTGGAAATCTAGGAATATGGGGTGAGGACTTTACTCGTGTGAAAAATATCCAGTGGTCAAACAGCCACAGCTCCTGAAATCCCGAGTGCCTCAGCTGTGGCTGAAGCTTTGTGGGGAAGGTGGACATGTGCCTACATAGCTCATTGTAGATGTGGAAAAGAATGTTCTAACACATTCATCATTTCCTTGAGTTTCTCATTCACACCACTTCAGAGCACGGTAGGAAAACAATGTAGTTTTTTTAAACTATAGAACTTGGATGTGTGTTACCTTTTCCTCCTCTATTTTTTGTTTCCTCTTTTCTTCTACTGCTGCCCTCCGTTGTTCCTCTTTTTGCTTCATTTCTTTTAGCTTTCTCTGTCTTTCTTCTAACTGTTTTTCATATTGGAGTTTTGCTTTTCTCTCCTTTTCAAGGATTTGTGTCTCTTTGGCAGCTGTTAGAATATTTTTAAGAAAAAATTAAAATCAAACGTAGCCATTTATTGATATTGCAATGCAACTTACAAGCAAGAGACTATCCAAACAGAATTCTTACCACTTGAAGTGAAAATGTACAGGAAGATGAGCTTGCAGAGGTGGATGACATCACACATGACAACAGACTCATCTTTAATTCTGTCCCCAGGTTGGAAGTGGAATTAGAATTCTGCCTGCCACTAGGCTTTACTGTCTAGACAGAACTATCAGGATATGTATATTCCCTGTATTAAGCATACACTTTTCTTATAAACATAATAGTTATGTCTCTGTAACGATGAAGTAAATTAAAAATAAAAAAGTAGAATTTTCCATGCTGGATTTTTCTTTTTTTTAAATTTAAGGCACTGAGTGACAAGATGGGAAGACCCTACAGTTCCTGCATCAGAGTTCAAAATAGTTGTATCACTATTCTCTGCAGCCTCCACCAAGGAACAGCTGTGTGCAGTTCAACAGGAAGCCTCAGGTCCTGTGACACAAAGCTAGAATGCACAGGGTATTTTCCATGGCCAGACAGGTGAAATGAACCAAGAGACCAGATAATCACACCAACAATGTACAGGCAGCTTCTACACATGAGCCCCCAAAATATTTCTGAATTTTATATGCATCACAATACTACCCTGTTCCCATATTAGGATAACACAATAATTTCTATTCTTGTGGATTTTTGTTTTTATGTTGAGAAACAAACTTAACAGCTCAGAGAGACATCTCTCCTCACAAGCTGGGAGCCCAAGACCCAGGACTGCAGGGCACACTGTGACCCTTTCATCTCCTGCTACACACACATGCACTGATTCACATCACAAACAGCATAAAGCTGGGCAAGAGTTTTCTGCTGCTCTCTAGTCTCAGATTCCCTGCTAAGATAAAGTGTATACTGCTGACACTTCAATACAGGAGTCATTTCAGTGTGCTGGGAAACAAGGGAAGCAGTGTTCAAGGCAAACAGGCCATTTAAGTAGCTAAAGCTTTTTTGGTTTTCTCTGAATCAGCATTCTCCAAACGTCAGTCTTCAGGGCTATAGGAAGGAGTTCTAAGCTAAAGTTTTATTTTCCAAAGTGTTTTTGTTAAGGCTTTCAATAAGGAATTGGCTAAATTTGCTGGGGGGTCTCTAAGAGATAGAAGATGAGAAGTGAGCTTCAGATCAGATAGAGCTTCAACGAGCTAAAACTCTCTACAGTTTTCCTCTCAAATCAAAAACTTCTTCATTCAGGTTCACAGATGAACACTGATGTAAGACCAAGAGCAGACCTTGTCTCTTGTCCCCAGAAAGCTGACAAAAAGTTACAGAACATGGAGTAAGGGGGACAGTAATTCCTTTAACAGAAATATTTTAGAAAATTATATTTTAAGTGAAACATGAAAATACCATGTTGCTTTTCCCGCTCTTCTCTACGCTCCCTGGCCAGTCTTTGCCTTTCTTCTGTTCTTAGCATGGAACCATCTATCACTGTCAAAACAAAAAATGAAGACATGCAATTATCAATGACTTTGAAAATTCAAATTTAAATAAAAAGTCAAAAGTCTTTACTATCAAATGGAGAATGAAACTTCCTAAGAGATGCACACACTACCAAATCACTGCACGCTCTATATAGAAATTAGAGATATCATCTGAAAAATTAACAGACAGCTGAACATTCTCCTTTTCCTTCTTTCCATTCCTCCACAACATTATTTTTAAAAGGTGCAAGAGAAAGCAGATATCATATTAAAGGCTCAACAGGTATAATCAAAAGAAAGCCTAAGAAGTCAGACGTGTGAGAACATACCCTATTCCAAACATTCCTCATTCTTGTACATTTTAACTTCCATGAACAAGAATGACAGGAATTTAGGAAAATGTAATCTGAGGGCAGATAATTCACCTCTCATGACAAATGCAGAGCACTGTAGGACAACTCATTTGCAGACTAAGCAGAATCAAGACTTAAGCAGTCTTTCCAGGTATAAAATCTTGAATTTCAACAAGAAGTGAGCTGGTAACTTTTCCAGTTACCATCATTTATCTTTGCTGTCATGCCCTACTTAGAAGACAGGCAGCTTCAACTGAACTCTGAGCCAGTCAAAAGCAGAAATCTGTCATCAAAACCAGACCTACAAACCATCTGCCAGGTGCTCTAATGCCTCCTGAAGAAAGAGCACTAAACTTCTAAGTATGTTCTTTTCAATCCCTGCTAACTCTCCCTTGTGAGCCCAGCACTTCATTAAGAGCAATGACCTGTAATTATACCTGGTTTAGTTGCTGTCTTTATTGAGGTCTGGACTGTAAGAGGGCTAATGCCACTTTGGCTTCTTCTTTCTTCTGCTATGGCTTGGGCAGCAGCAACTGTGAAAAGAATGAATCCACATTAAGAAAAGTTCTACAAGTGAAATTCATGAAACAAATATCTAAAACAAACACATAATATTCTATCTGAGGTTGCTGAGGCTTTTGTTAAATAACTAACTGGGGGTTGCTCAACTTGTAAGGAAAAACTTGTCAAATGAGATTTGAGACCTGGCATTGCTTTTCATTGTAAAAACATTTACCAAACCTTGTGTTTCAAGACTATAGAGTTTCAAAGACCAAACTTATTTAATAACTCTTCTAAGACAAACCCCATTATTTTGCAGTTATGTCTGACTTACACTTAATAATAAAAATTCTTCACTACCACATGAGCATTTGTGGGCCGGACACATTTATGTAGTAGTCCATTAGCACTGCCAGAATCATATTCTGATGAGACCCAAGCAGGGAGAGGTCTATGAAGACCTGTCATTACTTCATGGCATGAAAGAGAAAGGGGAATAGCTGCATAAAGTAAACCATTAAGGGATGCTTACAACATACTTCTGAAGCTGAATCTTCAAAAATAAATGTTAATTATAAATTAGACTCCAAAACAGTAATTTGAGCATCTCTGCAGAGACCCATTCACCTTATCTGAGTTTCACCAAGACGACTTCAGCAAAATGCAGGGCTACAATTCACAGATAATCACACAGAAAGGAAATACCACCAATATTAATTTCGCTAAATAACAAAACACATAACAAGTCAGGGAAACTAATTTACTGCATCACTTTACCCAGATTTTCTTTGTTTTGGTATCAACCTTCACTAATCACCTCACAGGGCGTGAAGTTGAAGCATTACAGGGAAAGCAGGGAGAACAACCTGTAAGACAGCATTACCCCAGTGCCCTGCACAGCTCAAACACAAGTGTCCTCACACACTGTCACCTCGTTCTCACCTTGACTGACAGGCACTGGGAGCTCAGCTGGGTTCCATGGAAAAGCCCAACTTCAAGGGGAAGCAAGGGAACACACTACACAACCACCCACCCATGAGAAAGTTAAGGCCAGTTTAACACAGAAAAGGCAAATCCACAAAAGGAACACGTAATGTGCTGTGATCTCAAGCAGAATGTGAAGGACCAATAGTACAAATTGCTGTTCTATTTTAAAAAAGAAGACTACAACTATGCCAATGATCCGACTTCCCTTTAATAGGCGTAGTGCAGAATGCAAAAGAGGAAGGAAGAGTCTCCCTCTTCTCCATGCATTGCCATGACAACTAGTTGTGTCATGGTAATAACCCTCCCTAAGGCTGTGCCCAAGAACAATCACCTCAAAGTGTTTAATCCCATGTGATTTCAGTGATAAATGCTGATTACAATACTTATTCAGCAACTCTAAATTGTCACCCGCAGCTGTTGCCATGTCTTGAATTAATTTTTCACTGCAGCAACAAACAAAAGTCTTCCTCAACCCTGTCCTATACATCTCTGAGGCTCTTTTCAAACAAGTCAGAGACCAGATATACTACAACAGGATGAGATTACCAACTGGCAAAAAAACAGCTTAAAAAGGGCTCACTGTATTTTCACTGTCTAGATCAGACAAGTCAGTAAAAAATCCGATTTTTGTACACTATTGCATGTCACATGGATGGGAATGCAGCCCAAAAAAACACTAAGTGGAGAACAACAGAATTATCTATTCTAACACAAATTAAAGTGAAAACAGCCAGAGGAAAAGCAGCCACTGCAGGTGTTCTGAGAGCAGGAAAAGCCCAGCCAAGGCATTCATATCCAATGGCACCTCCGTACATCACAAAGGCTGAAGGAACAGAAGCTTCTTCAAACACCACTTAGATTTCTCACAAATACAGAAATCCAGGTAAGTCTTTCCTCAAGGGAGGAGACAGAGGTGCCCAGGCAGCCTGAGCCAACTCAACCCAGGCAGGAAATTATCTCAACAAAATAAATTCATTCTGCACCTAAATCAGCTTCAGTTAAGACCAACACTGGAATTCTGCCTCAACTCTCAAAGTTTAAATATCCAAATTTCCATAACGAAGTTATAGTAAGAAGCAATTAAACAGGTGCAATATTAATTTTATTTTACTTGCAGAAGCATTTTACTATTAGATATCTTGCTGAACAAACCAGCCATAATGGATATGGAGGATTATGTATTTATTTACTCAATCAAAAATAAACATGCAGTTGGAATAATGTTCGTGATTACAAGGCACTGATTTTAAAATGTGTCACATCTGCAAAGCAATTAGTCAGTTTATTTTAATTAATTAAGGTTGCAAAAGATTACTTGTGGTTCTATAACACAGGAAAGTGGGTTATAGAAACAGTTCAGCTTGCAGAGGACACAAAGGTGAAAAAAGTCTAGAAATACCCATCCAGAGGACTTTGCACATAAAGGTTTTTTTGTATGTCAGATAAAATATTTTAGTTCACTTTTTCAATCCTTCATTATTTGCAGAGAAACAATGTGCTTCAACATCTGTAAGTAGCAGATTTAAGGCGTGCACCTTCATGTCACATGGATGTGATCCATTTAACCAACTAAAAGCCAGAATCAAATGTGAACTGGGGATTTGAAAAAAACATTAATAAAAGGAGAACAGACACCACATTAGACACATCCCTGAGATATGTGAGCTCAATTTCACCAAGTCCCTGCTCAACAGACAGGTTTTATGGCCCTTGACAATTTAATGGTAAATTTACAATACAAAACTGTGATTTTCAAAGTCCACATTTTACTACAGTAAAAGAAAATGCATTGCATATTGTTGCACTGTGCAATCTTTTAAAAAGTACCTATCTTATTTTGCTTTAATATGATGAAAGAAATCTTAATAATTAATATATTTAAATTTTTTTTGGCAGAGATACCTATAATTTCTTTGCCTAGCTTTCCATAATGAATGTAGCAGTCTGCTATGGAGTGAAGCTTCATGGAAAAGAATTTTCCACAACATATATCTCTGTAAAATAAGCTTAATATTTCTGTAATGAATCAGGATACTCCACAACAGGAAATCAGTTAAAAAATAATTTCACTAGAATCTGTGTCACATGCTGCATTATTGGGGGGGTGCCTTCATGGACATATTGAGCAAACTCCCTGGAGAAGAAAAATTCTCTTAGAGTCAAATTAAATCTCATTTCTATTCTGAGCTTGCCCTCCCACAGTAGCCTTTCACAATAATACTTTGTGATCAGCATAATGTGTGTGTTTATTTTACAGAAGTCTACCTTTAAATGCTCCAGGTAAAATTAATAAAAGTATAAGCCATGCATGAGGCCAGTAACAATATCTGCATTCATGCATAATAAAATAGAGGTATTTGAACCATGAAATGATTAGGTAATTTGGGAAGCACTTTTCCTTCTGTGCCCTCATCACCATTTAGCATCCCAGGTCTGGCCAAGCAAACTGGAGATAAACCAAAGCCACAGAAGCAGCAGGAGGTGACATTCTAGATAAATCCAAATATCCAAATTCACCTGCAGCTCACGGCCCACTGCCAGTGCAGGTGCTGAGGTGCCTCCCTCACACTGAGCATGATGCTACTTCCCTCATCAGGTTTCCAATATGCCCTGAAGAGACCGGTGCTAAAAATAAACCCTGATTTCTATTTCAACCCCTGCACACAGCTAATACCCTTGGCCCCTGCCAGGACTGGCAAAGAACCCGCTGCTGTTCTTAGCAAACCTCATTAGGGACTGAAGTGGCTCCATCCCTTTCCCCAGTGAGGTTCAGGGCTCCCACCCCATCACCTCCCCAGTGTCCATGACCCAGCCCCACTTGCTCTTCCCTGCCCTTGCAGAACCACACGGGAGAGCAGAGTGTGCTGATGTTCACAGCAATCCTTCTGCTTCTCATGATTTAATGACTTGTTATGCAAAGCAAATAAACAAAGAAATCCCAGACTAAGCCTCTGAAACAGGGGGTGTTTGGAGGGCTTCTGAATGTTATCCATTGTTATGATTCTAAGCGTTTCCATAAAAGTTTAAAGCAGGCAACAAGAAGCCAATAAGCAATCCATGAATCAAAAATGAACTTTGCAGCAAAATATCTCAGATTTTATAGCAAACTGCCAAATCTGCAAGACATCATTTTTGTCTTGCTCCACTACATGGAGCTACTGTTTGCCCATATGCATTCAGATCCTTTTAATAAGTTTTGTACGTAGTTTCAGGAAAGATGAGGAAAGTCAGTATTCAAGTTTGAGATTCCCATGCACTGCCTTTTAAGCTGATTTCCACTCATTAATTATCATAGTTTAAGAGAAATTGGTGCAAGATCATACGTTTGAAGCTTTAAGAAAAAATGGGTATTGGCTTTTACACCACTACCCCTTGGTTCAGACACCAGAAGAAGGATGCACCTTCACACAAAGCTGACAACACAAAGTTTCTAATGATGAAGAGAAAGCCCTCTCTATGTGCATTCCTCTTTTCCCTGTTTTCCCCTTTTCTGTCTTTCCCCGTTGATCATCACATCCCATCTTTGGGCTGCAAGGACTGACAGGCTCCACAAGCAAACACGTGAGCTTCCTGGTAGGCACCTTCTGACGGACCAGCTGGAAGGCAGATGGTTCTCCTGTTTTGTCTGGGCAGCCACCAGATGGGGAGCACACAGATCTTCAGCAAGCAGGGCATGCTCCCAGCTTCAGCAGGCTACATGAGCTTCCTGTTATCTTATCCCTATCCCAGACTCCATTTGCAAACTTTGTCCTATATTTATTCCCTACGTGGGATACCTATTTTACCACCTTTATGTGCTTTCCCCCCTTTAACATAATTTCTGCAGTCAATTCAACAATCTGGTTTTGCTCCCAAAGTTCAAGGCAGTTCAGGTTGATTTCTTCAGTCCATCACAAGTTGTGATCCCACTGGAAAACCCAACACAAGCATTCCTTTGCAATATATGAATTAGCAGCTTCTCGAGTAAGTATTTGAGACATATTTGCAAGAACTAAAGTTTTTACTTATCTTTCAAGATCCGCATTCAGAGTAAGACCTAGAAATTATTTTTTAAAAATCACATAATTAACAAAGTTACTTATTTCTTATAAGGAAGCCTGCAAAGATACAGCTGAAACAATCTCAAAGACATATTATGGTCATGCCTAGGGCATGACCAGAAAGGCACCAGGAAGGTTGCCAGTTAATTTTTGCATTGATCTCTGTACTCTTTGCCCTAGGGGAAACATATAATCTAAACCAAACTTGACTGTAATCCTAGCACAGACCAAGGCATTGAAATTCGTCCTTAACAGAATTGGCAGCCACCTCCAGAAACTTTCTACGTCAGAGATGCTA